ACCCCTCTACCAAACACTGGAAGATAGAGAGTTAAACGTCTAGAGTTACCGCGACGTCGATCTAGCTGGGAGGGCATTACACACACCTCTGGATTGCTTCCTTCCTGCAGCTTGACCACTGTCCCCCCCGAGAGGTCACGTTTTTTCAGGGCGGTGTCTGAATTCCCCCAGGTAGCCCGGTTGCCCAGGCACCCAACGTTTGTAGGCGCCCCAACGTATCGAGGCACCCAACTGCTGTTGGCGCCTATCCCTAAGGGTGGGCGCCCGTCTACTATCCCTCAGTCCAGCTTGCCATCATGAAAACCCACAGAATCGTTGAAAGTTTCACCAGTCGAAGACACTTAAGTCCCCTGGACGGCTTGCTTTCTGCACCTTGATCACTGTCCCCGACTCCCCGGAGTGAGAGCCTACCCTGATACCTCCCAACTCTTGGCAAGCTGAGATTCGGGTGTCTCAACTGGCCGTCGGCTTCGGTCGATATTTGGGTTCCCTCTTATGTAGTGTAGGAACAGCGTTCGGCTCGAGATTCGCGTTGCGGGGTTTAGGTGGCGGAAAACAGCTCGGAGGTGCGGTTTTTTGTATGGGAAACCGTGTAGACATGCGCAGCCCCATACAAACTATAAAGCGATTCCGCAAAGTATAGAGTCTAGTAGTTTGCGCCAGGTATACTGGTTTCCAGCATAGACTAGCTCATACAAGCTGTATACCGATCGATATCGCAAAATTTTAAGTCTAGTAGTTTGCGTAAGGTCCAGTAGTTTGCGCAAAGTCTAGTAGTTTACGCAAGGTCTAGTAGTTTACAACGTTATATGTTGATATCTTTGTAAGTAGAGCAGCTATCAACAAACCAAATACAGATTTGAAATCGTGGCGTAATTCTGTATCGAATTGTGTGGCTAGAGCGCTGCAACAGTGGCTGTGCGGCGTGCAGTCACGTGAGGAACATCAAAACTTCACCTCTACCTTTCCACGCAGATATCTCAACAACGAGAGCAGCTATCGACAAACCAAGTGAAGATTTGAAATCCTGGCGTAAATCTGCACAAAACAGCTTCTTTAGATTTTCTGTAGCTAGCTCTGTAGCGTAGATCCCTAGCCTTGATCCTACTCCCTTGATCCCACTCCTCGTTCCTTATCGCTTTCTTATCGCTACTAACAAAACAGCTTGATTGTAGTACAATCAAGCACATCCTCTCGGGTAGGATTAAGGACATCCTCTAGGGTAAGATTAAAGGCATCTTTTAAGGTAGGCTGCTTTACTTAGCTAGCATAGCATATAATTACTTAGAGGTTATAGGTTAAATCTATAACACTAGTATCGTTTACAATTCTATTATTTAATAGCTTTGTTCTTTTCTCTTACGTAGTCTTCTTCCTCCGCTTCGTCTTCTTCTTTATCTTCTTCCACCTCATGATTGCTGACTTCAAACAGATCCTTCTTGCGCACCGAAGATAAGATCCCACGAAGGAGTTCCAGGTCGGGTGAAGGACCCCAGAGCTGGTTCCAGCCAATCTGCATCCTGTTCTATACCGCTACCCGAAAGACCAAGCACGCAGCTCAGGTCGAAGAGATCAGGACCCGCCCAAAACGTGTCGGCGTCGTACTGTCCGGCATCTCCTACACCGTCAACGCTTCCCATTGATATCGAATGCTCATGTGTATGAGATTGACCTCCTCGTTCGTGGGGAACAACACCAGTGGTAGCCGTAGCATCATCAGGACGAATAGCGAGTCCCGCAGCACGCGCAATGCCTCGGATCGTTCGCGCAAAGTAGGTCGACAATCGCGTTTCCGACATGTCGCCCAGCTCGAGCAGATCGACCGACATAGTGAGGTAATGGCTAACGACCGCGGGGTCGAGCGACACTACCTGTTGGACGAAGGGAGATGCCTTCGTCAATCGGATCAGGAAGACCGCAGCTTGGGCAAAGGCCATGGCCATATACTACAATCACTCAATCAGTAAGTTACGAAAAGACATGACAATGCTATGAGGGTACGATGACCGGACAAGGCGCGAGCTGATGTGGGCAGGGAGGAGCGCAAACCTACGTCCGTCGCAAAGCTCAGAGCAAGGTCGGTCTGGCTAGATTCGAAATGTGTTTGTATCGTGCTCGTCGCTGCGTTGAGAGCTTTGCGAAGATATGTGATGCTGCCTTCGTGACCTTCGCTGTGAGTGGACGAGCGGAGAGCCATGGCATTGATGCTCAGACGAAGGTGCTCGGCCTGCAGTCGAGCTATACGTGCTGAGGCGCCGAGGTAGAGCGCATGGGATGATCCTGTCACATCAGCCTGATATTGCAACATACATCTTGGTATCTTCATCTCCGAGTGGCCAGTATTCGACGGGGAATAACACTCAGAAAGGACAGAAGAAGACGTACCGGACCAGACCCAAAGCTTGCACCAGTCGTCCAACCTTCCGTTTAGATCCGACAACATCGACAACAACGACTGACTGTCCGGAGGACCGCTTCGCGCTTGCTCTTCTACCCATAAGACAAAGGATCGAGCAACAACAGCCAATTGGGCCTTCGCTGCAATATACGCATCACCATACAGCGACAGGCTAGCTTGAGTCCCTGGCCGAGGGAGCGGATGAGACAGGCGAGCTTTGAGGAAAGCTTGGTCGTCGATGGATTCGAACTGAGTTGATTGTGGTCGACCGAACCCAAATGACAGGAAAGAATCGAAGCTGCACCCAGTCAGTCATTCACGTACGTAACTCATATCTAGACGGATATCCCTCAGACCCAGCCGAGCGACGTACCTAAACCAAGCCAACCTGTCACAAACGATGTCAGCGGCCGTCTCTCCATTGAGACTTCAAGATCCACCTCCGAGTGAATCTGTTCGGGGCAGTCACTTACCATGTCCTCCATTGTCGTAGCACGGCCGTATCCACCTCAGCCGGAGCCTCGAGCTGAGAGCGATCCTTCTGGGTAGCTGCCACAGCTTGTCCGACGGCCCGCTGAATCCCTAGCCTTCTGGACACTCGTGCCGCATGCCCTGTCAAGACCCACGCGTCAGGTCCCTTTCCACCACTCTGCAACCCCCAAGCCGCAAGCAGCAAGATGGCCTGCACATCTGCTAGGGTGTGTTTTTTCCGGAGCAAGGTGTGAGCGAGGTGGGATTCGGCTATCTCAGCCAGGGCTTTTGGAACATGGGAGTCCATAATGTGCGCTTTGCTCGAGGAACGGAGGTAGAATCGGGCGGAGATCGCCAGGATTGCAGAGAAGAGTGACGGATAGCGCTGGACTGAGGTAAATGGATCCGGAAGGGCAATATCAACGATAGGCAGGAAAGGATGGCAGTGTTCCACAAAACTGGGGTCAGAACGTCAGCAGTGCGGTTGCTTATGTAGTAGTGAAGGAGGAGAGGGGCGCCGAACCACTGACAATGTGTATAAGGTTCTGGCTAAAGCAAGGTCGATTACACCAGAGCTGACTGGTTCATCTCGTACACCCCACGGTGGCATGCGGGCAGAATGCACTCGTGGTTCAGGGAGCGGCGAGTTCTGCTTTGATCTTTCCCGATTCTCCCAGACTGATGGCTTGGCCGGGTCAGTGACTACCACCCTGCATACAAGAAGACAGGTCGAACAGGCTTACTTGGTATACCAACGACTGGAAAGGCGGCCCAAACCCATCTTTGGTGGCCGAAGCTAGCCTTTCCTCGCCCTCGTTATCTCTATGCTCATTACCCGTCCGTACGTCGTGTTCTCCTGATGGCGATGTTGTCTCGGTTCGGCTCGAGTACGAATGAGGGGATATGAAATTTACTTCTGGCGAATCACCGAACCTCACATGACCTAATCCCTGGGTCGTTAGGGGATCAGACGTAGAAAGCAGAGCGGTTGTAGCAGTACTCGTAAGAGCCGTAGCATGGTAGCTCGACGGTTCGAGTGGTGGAGGAGCAGGAGCAGGAGCAGGAGCTGTAACGGGGACCGTGGACGAAACTGTAGCAGGAGCTGCAGTCAGGGCAGGGAAGAGATCGGTCCCATTGGTACCAGTGTTCTGCAAACCAGCTAACAAGTTGGTGACACTATCTTCCAAGCGCACCAAGCTAGCTCTAGCTGCCGCCCCATGTCGATCCTCAACCACATCACCGTTCGTGTTCGTGTTGTTGTTTGAGTTCGGGACGGGGGACGCATGTCCAGGTTTGCCAAAATCGCATTCCTTACTCGCCTTGACACATCTTTCGCATGGCCTGCCACCAAGGCAGCGGAGCTTTTGTTTGCGGCATCGGAAGCATGCCTGTGTGGCTCGACGTTCCTGTTGATGGTGCTGTTCGTATTGTGCAGCGTCGACGGTGACATTCGGACGATAAGCAACGTTGCCCGCGTGCCCTTGGCCGAAATCGCATTCTTTGCTCGCCTTAACGCATCGCACGCATGGCCTGCCACCGAGACAGCGAAGCTTTTGTTTGCGGCATCGGAAGCATGCCTGTGTCGCTCGGCGCTCCTGTTGATGGTGTTGCTCGTGCTGCTGTGCAGTGCCAGTCGTGACGTTCGGCGGGTTCGCGATGTCGTGTGCGTTCCCCTCAAGTGAAGTTCGCGCTCTCTTACTCCGCTGGTCTTCGTCGCTATCGCCTCGCATTTCGATGCCGCATGTCTGTATCGCTCCGCGCTCTTGCCAATGCAATGGTAATTGTTTGTCTTGCTTCACAATGTCGTCAGTGACGTTCAGAGGGCAAGTAATGTTGCGCGCGCGTTCTTATTGGTGGAACGTCGCGTTGGCTACCGTGCGGGGAAGTTCGCGTTCTCTTACTCGTTCTCGTGCGGGGACGCGGAACAAGCTCAGTAATCAAGTTCTCCCACAATTTTACGAAAGCTCTGATATAATAACCAGCTGCTTACTCCGCGAATATGGGTTACGCGCACGACCACGCAGCATCTCTTCGTGGCTCCAGTCCGTGAACACTGTTGCCACGACGTGATCAGAAGTCGTCCAGACAGCCTCACCCCTCGTCTCCACTGCCTTCATCCACGCCCCGGCACGGTCGTGACCCTGCGTAGTTCAATGACATAGGCGCTAACATGGCACTTCGTCGATGGCACACAAGGCACTGTATTCACCGCGAGAACGATAGCAGCAGCAGCCGCACCATGATGTGTTGCAGCACTCTAAGCACCTGAACACTCGCTGACGAGCTCTAGAACCGGGCGAGCAGCCGTAGGATATGATAGGAACTAGCCGCAGCGACAGCAATCAGCTCGACTGTGGCTCCTGACGCTCGGATCGTGCCAAGATACCCGCAGTGGCCCCGTCTCCGGCCGCGCCGGCAACTTGCTAGCTCTTTACAGACGATTACAGCCTCAAACTTCCGAGCGCATCCGTTATCACGGGCCGTCTCATTCAAGAGCACGCCAAGCGATTGAGGTGGCGCGCACAACCACTGAGCTTGCAAAATACATGGAGACCTTCATTCTACGAAAGACTGGCGAGATCTGCCATGATCTCTCACGAAAGATCTTGTAGCATCTGCACTACCGAGCGGCAATCAATAATGCCGTCTAAAAACAGGCATTCAAGGACTCCTAGTTGTGAACAGTGTCGGACTGCATGTCGCATCCTAGATCGACTTGGGCCGTGGGGTTTTCGCCGACTCCGTGAATGCGAATTCGACCCTAGTGCATCAAATGCAACATCTTGGCCACGACTGCAAGAATTATGTGTACCTCATCCCAACACTTGATCAGTAATCCTTGAATCGGCGCCGATGGCCTCACCGTCCTTCGAGATCATCACACCCACCGTCACTAGCACTAGATATCTGAACGGGGCAGGTTGAGTTTATACATAGTGATCCTCCAATCAACCTCTGCCTCGTGCTTGACCCTTCTGATCGGTAAGTTGAGGGTACCTGCATATGAGACAACGAGGAGCAACTGAAGCGCATCTTGGCGACGCCCATGCTTTATCTCAATCTTAAGATCTTTCAAACTACCCTTGCGCATACACCTCCTGATCTGGCCTACCGTCTCGATCCAGGTATAGATATCTCACCGAGGCCGTCTGTGCCCTTCGTGCCTTTTTTTAACACCTTTCTCCCCGGGTGCAGTCACGTAGAACGCCCCTGGCATAGTATGGTAATCCCATGCGGACCATATCGGCGTCATAGCGCGTTGCGTCGCTTCTGCCGAGCTCTATGGATAAATAAACACGATACAACTGACACACTAAACTTGTTCGTTCTTGCCCGGATTTCTGGGACTTTTTTTCGCTCTTTGTTTCGTTCTGCCGCACTGCTCACTATGATACATTGGAGGTTCTGCATTCCCATTCTGGGTTGCGCATTCTTTGTCACTGCCGCGGCATCCCCGAGAGAGCTCACTGGACAGATAGTCACAGGTGCTTATATCGTCGAACTAGCGGAAAGCCATGTACACGACGACATTCTCACTATTCCTTTATCAACTAATTCGTGTAGGACTCCGCCTCCTTCTACAACACACTCGATATCGATGAGGGTGGTGTAGAGCACCGCATGAATCTCAACTACAAGCTATTCAAGGGCATCTCGTTTCAGCTTCAAAACGTATCTAATGCAGATGCTGCTGCGGCCAAGATTGCAGAAATGGATATGGTCAAGCAGATTTGGCCAGTTCGCGTTCAAGCTCGGCCTCGTAACGAAGTTGTCTGGGAAGGCCAGGATAGAAGTTCGGGTCAGAGCGCGCTCCGTAAGCGGCAGGGAGGCGAGAACACCAGCGATACATACTCGACCCATGTCATGACGCAAGTCGACAAGCTCCGTGCTCAGGGTATCACTGGGAAGGGCACCAAGATTGCGATCATCGACTCGGGGGTTGACTACCTGCACCCTGCACTGGGCGGTGGCTTTGGTGAAGGTTACTTAGTTTCTTATGGAGCTGACCTGGTGGGAGACGACTACGACGGCTCCAATACCCCTGTGCCGGACGATGATCCAATGGACGAGTGCGTAGGCCACGGGACGCACGTTGCTGGCATTGTCGCCGCTCAAGCCAACTCCATGGGCTTCACTGGAGCCGCTCCTGACGTTACCCTTGGTGCATACAGAACCTACACGTGTAATACTGGTCGAGTGGCCAATGATGTTCTGATTGCTGCGTTCAATCAAGCGTTTGAAGATGGCAGCGATATCATCACCTGTTCAATGGGCTACTCTTCAGGCTGGCCTGAAGACCCTTGGGCCGTTGCTGTCTCGCGCATCGTTGATCAGGGTGTACCATGTCTGCTCTCTGCTTCCAATGAAGGCGACAAAGGCCTGTTCTACACCAGCACGGCATCGAACGGCAAGGGTGTAACGGCGGTCGCTGCCATCGATAACATCGTGATTCCTCAACTCTTAATGAACGCGACCTACACCATAGGTAATTCGTCGGCCAACTCGCCACCCGAATCTTTCGGATGGACTTACGGTTCCCCTGCGAACTGGGGAGACATCAGTCTCCCATTGTGGAACATAAACAATGATCCTACCGACCCCGCAAACGGTTGCGATCCGTACCCGGCTGGCACTCCCGATCTGTCTGGATACGTTGTTCTGATCCGCAGAGGAACCTGCACCTTTGTCGAGAAGGCCACCAATGCCGCAAATGCCGGAGCTAGATATATCATGCTGTACAGCAATGTCGACACGTGCGTATACGGATGAATCCAGCTTATGCATCGCGCTAGTTGCTAATCTTCAGGCAGAGTAATCGGTGTTTCTGTTGAAGAAGTCGATGGCATCCTTGCTATAGGGATGGTGCCCCGCGAAACTGGTGAAGAGTGGGTTGCTGATCTGGCGGCTGGGATTACTGTCGCCGTCAATATCTTGGACCCCACTATTGCTCCAGTATTCGTCGCTCAATCATCTAACAACGCTACCGGTGGATTCCTTAGTACGACCACACCCTGGGGTCCGACGTTCGAGATCGATGTCAAGCCGCAGATCGCAGCACCAGGTGGTATAGTTCTGTCCACTTGGCCGCGTGCTCTTGGTAGCTATGCTGTGCTCTCTGGCACTTCTATGGCAACTCCACTTGCGGCTGCTATCACCGCGTTAGTCGCGGAGGTCCGTGGGACGTTCGATCCTAAAGAGCTTGAAAGCGTCCTCTCTGCGACTGCAAACCCGAATATCTTCAATGACGGCGGTACCACATACACTTATCTTGCTCCCGTCGCTCAGCAAGGCGGTGGTCTCATTCAGGCCTATGACGCCGCATACACGAAGACTGTCTTGAGTGTTTCGAGTATCTCATTCAATGACACCAACAACCGCATTGAAACCACGAACTTCACTATTACGAACACTGGCACCGAAGATGTCACATACAGCATTGCCAATGTGATTGCTGCATCTGGTTACACTCTCGAAGAGGGCACGATCTTTCCAATGACCTTCCCCAACGAGCTCGTAACCCAGGGTGCTGAGCTATCCTTCAGCGATGACAAGGTCACCGTCTCCGCCAAAAGCGAGGTCGCTGTCAGCGTTACGGTTTCACCGCCCGCGCTCGATGCAACCCGTCTCCCCGTGTTCAGCGGCTACATCACGCTCAATGGCACCAACGGTGACTCTCTGAGCCTTCCTTACCTCGGCGTCGTTGGCAGCATGCTTGAAGCGACCGTCCTCAACACCAACAACACATACCTCACGAGGCCTGATGATCCGGATGCTGTGCCTCTCCCCGCTGACTTTTCTTTCACCCTGTCCTCCACGGTGAACACTGCTTCCAACGCTACCGTCGTATTGCCGGAGGTCCAAACTGATTTCGCATTCGGAACTTCACTGCTCGACATCCAGATTCTGCCCACTGACAGCAACAACTCGTCTTCTCTGCGCAGCATCGTCGACTTCCCTACACACTACGTGCCACGTGGACAGTCTTGGTGGGACTGGAATGGGCAGCTTTCAGACGGCTCGTTCGCGCCGGCCGGCACGTACAAGTTCGTCGTGAAGGCGCTGCACATCTTTGGCGACGCGTCCAAGGAAAGCGATTACGACACTGCCGAAACAGTAAGCTTTAAGATTCAGTACGCGTAGAGGGATGCATCAGGCAAAGATACCCATTACTGCATGCTTTGCAGAATACAATTACGGAGGGAAGTCTTGCGTAGAAGCACCAAGCCACACCCCCTAACATGCACTACGAGTTAGAGATAGGCCTAGAACGCGTAAGTTTTATTATAGAGAAAGATCATCCTCTTACACGCTGCATAGCCACGTGTATACAGCATGTTCATAATTGTTTAATAATCACAGATTTTATTTGCATCTTAACCTTATTAGAAAGTAGTGCCGAGGGCTTGTTTCCCATGGCGCAAAGGAAAGTCCGATCTTTCGGCAAGCTGTGCGATGCTGTTTATCGTGAACAAGTACAAGTATAAGGTGGATTTGGAAATATGTGTTCAGGATGATGTTGAAGCCCGCGAGCTTCTATCCTGCTTCAGCCGCACTTGGGCATTTTCTCGGCAGCTATGCCTAATGGCTTGGCTGGCTTGCGGCGATGATTCAATTCCACGGTTCTGCATCCACCGTATTAAGGGTGAAGTACTCTGTCGACGATAGAACTCGCACGTACGGAAGGTCTGTTGTGAAGCGCTTGCGCGGGATGGTGTTATCGCTACAAGCCTGCCCGGGCGAACTCCAACCATAGCCGCCCGCCACGGCCACGACCCACCTCTACCTACGTTGTATTTATGGATGAGTAGTGTCGCATAGGTCTGTAGATTGATCGACGAAGGATCTTGTGATCGTAACTATGGTCATTGCACGCACGGACACTTTGGACAGGCTAACCAAGAACGGAAAGAGACTCCGAGATAGCTCATCATGCAAACCCCGCTGTTGCCATGTCGATTTCGTTATCGACAACCATTCTAGATGTCTTAACTCAAAATCCCAGTCGATCACGTTCTTTCTCCGTATGGAACGTGAGTTCTTTGGCTCTACCTTTTTCTGACGTCATGCGCAGTGAACGTAGCCGTAACGCGACGCGAAAACATTCGCAGCCGCGCCGAACTCACAAACTAGGCGGCTGCTCAACCTGCCGGCGCCGCCATGTCAAATGTGATCAATCACGGCCATGTTGCTCTGTCTGCCGTAACGCTGGCCTGCAGTGTGAAGGCTTTCCCTCCCAGATCCGCTGGGCTTCTATGTCTACCGGCCCGCCAGCTCTGAAGTCGGCCCAGATACCGCCACCCACGCCATTTGCCCAGAGGCAAGCAGCATCTCAAAGCACAACGGCGTCTCAGGACGCTTCTTCAACGGAACCAAATCAACGTCTGCATCCCATCGGCTAGATATCAGATTCGCACTAACAGCCTGTCAGAGCAGTCTGGTGAAGCAGCCTCTCCCAATGGCCCGCAACAAGACGACCAAGTGCCTCAAGATTCCATTTTACCGCCCCATAGATCCTCACCAGCAAACATTCCGCTTCTCTCCCAAGAAATCGCGTCGAGCAGCGCCGAAATCCCCAGTCATCCACCAGCATGTCCGTCCTCTATGCTTCCGTTGGAGGATGTACGCCACGTGGAAGGTGACACAGGGATCGAGATGAACGAGTCCGATCTCTTCAGCTACCATTCTGCCGGATCCTTCTCTGATCTGGAGTCGTTGCTCGATAACTCTGCCGTCCTCGGGTGGAACGACTTGTTTGGCTCTACGACGAGTCTTCTTATGCCTGTCATACATGACGAAACATATCACGATTCGCTCGAAGTTTTAGCGAATGTTGCTAGTCACCCACATGGATTCAATGATGGAGATCAGTTTCCACGGCATTCGTTCGAAGCCGAATCATCGCTGAGTGGACAAAGTATGGGTACTTTCGCGGCAGTCACAAGCCCACAACCTCCTCCATACACACAAACGGAATTAAATGGTGCCGAGGTGCTAGAAGATGCAAAAGTACTTCTGAAGCACTTTCGAGATGTCGTGATTTCCCAGTTCGCGCCGCTGCCGATGCACTCAAAGTCGCCATGGGAGATTCTCAATTGGAGCAATGCCGTACATACTCTCGCCGATATAACGTTTCTCCAGAGTTCCAATGTCAAACACGCAAACTTGGCTAACCTTTTCGCCATTATCGGTTGCTCTGCACACACCATTACTAAGACACAGAACTATCCTGGCGTTCTTTCGTACCAAAGAGGTACCCAGATCCTGGATTATGCCTCACGGCATGCTAAGAGCCACATGCAGGAGTCTTTGAAATCAGAAACAGCTGGTCCGGGAAAGTGCAAGTACAAAGACCAGCTAATGGCTCTCTTCAGTCTCGTTGCGCTTGCGGTATGCATCCCACCCTGTTGTGGAGATCGTGCTAAATGTCAGTAGACGCTGAGCGGCAATTCGGCCGACGCTAGATGCTACATCATCGATGCGGAGCGCCTGTTGAGATTACGAGGACTGGCCAAGCGAGATGTCTCTCGCAAAGCTCGATTACTACACCACGTGTATACCTGGCTCCGGATCGTTGGTGAAAGCACTTTTATGTTGCATGACCTCACCAGCGCCGGTTTTCAGGAAAAGATAGAAAGGATGATACAGAAAAGCACGGCAGTTTCTAGCGTTTCGTCGGCCTCGGAGCAGAACGCAGTGTTGGCAGATGAACACCCTCAACTCGACGATTTTCTTCGAGTGGAAACACACGGTCCAGATAGCGATCTCCACATGGGAACATCAAAAGACCAGGAGGCTGGTCTCCGAGATATTCACCTTTCGGATCCTCGCGAATGGCCAAAGACACTCTATATGGATATTTATGGAATTCCAGAGGACTGGCTCAGCCTGGTATCGCAAACGACCAGAGTCGCCAACATCATTGACTTTCTCGAGCAAACGACCGAGCAAATGCCGCGGGCCTTCACAGACTCTCTACAAAGGAAGACGACACGACTAGAGTACATGATATGCTCTTTTTCCGCTAAGCACAGCGTTTTTGAGACTCCCGTGCCGTCAGATAGCAATAACGAGATTACACCCAATCATTCGATTTCCAGTCGAGCGATGTTGAGAGCAATGGGCTCAGCGTTAGTGATATTCTTCTATCGGAGGATTCGCAACGTTCATCCTTTCATCCTGCAGTCGCATGTCAACGACGTCATCACAGCACTACGGGACTTCGATATCGCCCAAGGTCCCACAAACATGATGTCTTTAGGTACGCCGTGGCCAGCTTTCATCGCTGGATGTGAAGCGCTGCCAACGTCTTCCCGGGATTGGTTAATGGGGTGGATGGAGAAGGGTGCAAGTCGATCTGCTTGTAATGGCTTCACTGCCTCACAAAAGGTCATGCGAGAGGTATGGGAGCAACGTGACGTCGCGGGGGCCATACAAAATCCTGAGAGCGGCATCTCCAATAGAGGCAAAGTTTACTCCTGGGTTGATGTGTTGCGAGAGGGTAAATTTTGGCTGATGCTATACTAGTTGGCGTGCATAATTGAAGTCAACAATCATACCATTCCTACATCTACATCAAAGCTTTGCAAGGATACCGTTGCCTTCCAAGACACTCAGATGGTTCGTCGTTATTTCTTTAACGGAGCGGCAGCCAGCCAAGGCCATTGTTGATCTGAACTCCTCGTACAGGATGCGGATACCCAGTTCTACGCCCGCTTGACCTTTGTACTGCAAGGATGTTAGTGGCAGGGCTGGTATGTGCCTAGAAGAACTTACAGCTAACCCCCATATCGCGACTCGTCCGAGAAAGCAAAACTCTGCCCCAAGTGCGACAGCCTTAAAAATGTCTGAACCTCTCCGGATGCCACCATCCATGGCGATTTTTATGCGTCCTTTGGCGACTGGAGCACAGGAACGCAGCGCATCTAACGTCGCTGGCACACCATCGAGCTGACGTCCCCCGTGATTCGAGATGATGATACCATCGACACCCGTAGCCACGGCTTGTTCAACGTCTTCGGGCGACGAGACCCCTTTTAGCCATATCTCCATCTTTGTATGCTTCCGCAACCACGGGATGACTTCTTCCCATTCCAGTGTATCGTCGAAAGCTGTGGGCCCATTGCGCTTGGTCTCGTCATCACCAAAGTCGCCCTCCCCACTGGACAGAATATTTGGGAAGGACAAATCGTTCGGCAGGGCGAAGTTCGTGCGCATTTCTCCTAGCCGTCGTCCTAGCACCGGTACGTCGACAGAGAGGAAGAGGGCTTCATAGCCGGCTTCTATCTATATGTCAGTCTGCACTTGCAACGCTGTGAGCTACTCACTCTCAGCCCTTTCTAACAGCTGTAGGGTGCGATTCCTGTCTCTCACAATGCACATTTGCATCATGTAAGGATTTCCAGCTCCTTCGGCTTTGACTTCCTCTAATGCAACGTTTGAGTAGGAGGACAAGGCCATCGGTATCCCCGCCTTGGCCGCTGCCCTTGAGGTCGCCAGTTCTCCGTCTGGATGTGCTAAACAATGCATCGCCGTTGGGCTGATTCCGCAGGGGAAACTCGCCCTGTAGCCAAAGATTTCTGTGGTCGAGTCCAAATGAGAGACGTTTCGAAGAACGCGAGGCCGAATCTTGTATCGGTCGTAGGCCGAAACATTGTCCCGTAGCCTAATCACATCAGAGATTGCCAAGTGGAGAGGTTGGTTACGAACGTTATCATGTCCATTGCGCCACCATTATAGAAATCGCGATATTGTTTTGGAAGACGTTTTGTGCCCTCCTTCTCAAGATCCTGGATTGAGAAGACCAGAGGGTCAAGATTCGATGCCCGGTTTGCCATGGTGGAAACAAAAATTATAGTATTGTAAGGTGGCCGTCTGACGCAAGTGTTCTGTTGCGCTATGGCCGCTCGGTTGTGCACTGCGGAGTTCCTCTCCACCCACGATTGCGAAGTTTCGAAGATTTTGTTTCAATGATTGAAGATAATCTTTCAATTATGCGTTGTTGCTCAACAGTTTCGGTCTGGTGCTATGAGCGATCTGACACTCATGGGCGAGATAAGCTAGGTAGCTAGAAGCGCACTTGGACATCGTGTCCTACGGATTTACCGATATGAGAGCCGGAACGATTTGGCGTGATGCTTACGGAACAACATACTGAATCAAGTCTTCAATCGACATCTAGCCCCTCACGATGTGACTGATCAGCGTGGTCGGAAACAAGTCAGTCAGACTAACCATATCCGGAAGTCCACTCCGGAAGTTCACTCCTGTGGATGATGCCCCGCAACATCCATCCTGACATCCCTACATTCCTGAGAATTGCGGAGTGTTAATAGAGCCTCATATTTCAGTAGATACCGCTGTTGTCCTTGTTCTCAGCATTCAGCCTCTTTCTCAACGTACGGCCTCGAAATACTTACGATCCTCACCCACAAATATTTCATCTTGATCGTCTATCTTCAGACACAACTTACCTCACAAGCTATGGCGCCTCGAGAGCTCAGCGGCATCCTAGTAGCACTTATCACGCCTTTCACCGACGATGGAAAGACGGTGCATGAGGGCAGGCTACAAGCACACGTCAACCGGATGATCGAGGCTGGAGTTCATGGTCTTGTCCCTGGAGGCACCACGGGCGAGTTCACAGCCATGACATCAGAGGAAAGAAAGAACGGTCTGGAACTTGTCATCAAATACACAGCGGGAAGGGTTCCTGTTGTAGCTGGCATTGGCGCCTTGTCGACGTGGGAGTGCGTCGATCTAGCTACCCATGCAACTAAGGCTGGTGCTGATGCATTGATGGTGGTTCCTCCGTTTTATGATCCTGTCAACTATCAACAGCTGCGGACACTTATGAAGGAGGTACACGAGGCATCAAACCTGCCCATAATGTTCTACAACATCCCTTCTGCTAGCGGCATCACCCTATCGCCCACGGAGTTAGCGTCTTTGTCAGAAGTAGGCGTTCAATACATGAAAGACACATCAGGAAACGCGCCGGCGCTGACGGAGCTGCTTTTCGAGCTCGACGACAAGATCACGGCCTTCAACGGCTGGGATACCCTCACCTTCTACGGCCTCGCTGCAGGGGCCAAGGGTTCAGTGTGGGGCGCTACCAACATCATACCTGAGCTTTCAGTGGAGCTGTGGAACAAGCTGGCCGTCCAGGGCGATCTTCGGGGCGCGCGGGAGCTGTGGAGGAAGATCTTCCCCATCTGCAAATTCCTCGAGAGCCACAACTACCCTTCCGCGGTCAAAACAGGCATGGAGCTGCGAGGATGGGAGACGGGCGGCCTGCGAAGGCCGTTTGATCTACTCGCGAAAGAACAAACCGAAGAGCTGGCAGGCTATTTGAGTGAGTCAGGGTTGCAGACAGTGAAGGGCAAGTGGCTGTCAAACAACGCTTGAAATCATGCGACTTGATCATGACTATAGGTAGAATGCGAGAGTTCGATATCGAGATCATGTATCATATATGTCGTTGGCACCCTAAATGAAACCTTATGACTGCAAAAGGGTATCCGTGATTCGTGACTTGACTGTCACACCGCGATAGATTTATCCTTGAGGATAGCTAAGACCGAAGACTTCAAACCGTTCCGTCGTGCAAACAACACAGTTTCAAAGATCAATCTTCATATCCACAATTTACCTGCGTCGCTAGTCATCTACACCGCAAGATTTGCAAATATCAGACATGCTTGAACGCGGAACAGTCTGATCACAGACAAAAGGACATGTTTCAATACTCAAACGACCGATCTGTTGACACATGCTGACTATATCAATCATCTAGTGTCCGCTACTACCCGAGTTGGAATTGTCAGCACAAGACCAAGCACCAGACGTTCCAGAATTGTAATCGTCAATGATACCAACAATAGCACTGTACGAACCAGCAACCATGATGAATGTCCCGATAAGAATCACAAACGAGGCCCAGACAACGCCGATCACCCATTTGGTGCCTTTGTTTGGGCGCTTAAGGTTATCGTAGAGCCACATAGCTCCGAGCGGTTGCATCGACATAAATGTAGCAAGCAGAGCGCCGACGAGCGAGATGAGAGAACCAAAGTTTGGCACAGCCGAGCAGATGACATAGGCTGCGAGTGTAACACCAAGCGTGCACGACAGCCATGTAGTCCAATGGGTCTTGGAGTTCGAGACAAGGTGCTTGGATCCCTTCATTATGCGGAGGAAGACATATTTGGCTGGATAGTGGGTGACGAGGCAAGTCGAAGCGATGAGACCGGTGATAGCGAGGCCGTAACAGACGCGCTTGAGAAGAGGGCCAGCAGATCCAAGAGCAGGAGATGCCACGTAGGAGCCACAGAAGTAGTAAACCACGACACCGACGATGATATAGATAGCGGTCATCGTACCCTGGCAGATGTACATGGCTTTGTTGTAGTCCCTGGGGTCGCGCATCTCAGACATGATGGCAAAGAAGGCGGGTGTACCAGCGTAGGCGAAGACAAAGGTGTTGAGAGCGGACATTGCCTCGATGAATGTGGGGTTTCCAATCAACTTGTAATCCGAAACGAACGGTCCATCTTGGGGCGCAGCTGCTGGACGATCTTGGAGGCCTACTGCGATGGTCAAAGTGAGCAGCGCGGTGATGATGGATATAACACCAGCCCATGCGAGCCACGAGATCTTTCCAAGAGTCCTAATCGAGCCTGTCAAGAAGCCAATTACGGCGGCTACGGCGACGAAAACAGCAGTACATGTTCCGTGCAGGGAAAGGGCGTTGAGGGCGGTAGAGATACTCGAAAAGCCAGCCGCAGCCACACAGATCCACCCTTTCGATCGTTAGTACTTCACCATTTATCACGTCGGCGAGGAACTTACAAAGCATGAAGGCAACGCTCATGAACTCTTTGCCAAATTTGCCGCCCATCATCTCACCCACGTCTACGATACTGTACACCTCAGGGTGGTTGAGCCTGAATCTACCAACCACGTAGTTTCCCCAAGTGATTGTACCCCCGATACCAATCATGCAGAGCACTCCGGGGATCACACCAAGCGCGTCGAATGCAGACGGGATGGAAAGCACACCCAGCCCGATCTGCGTCTTGATCATGACGACAACAGAACCCATCCAACCAACCTAGGGTTGTAAGCTAATGCGCAACATGTACAGGCAGATGCGAGGACGTACATCGCGATAGTTGGGCCCCTCCTCTGTAATCTCGCCAAAGACGTCGTCGGTGATGGAAACCCTGCGTCCACCTGTGCTGAACACACTGCCTCTGCGGTGTGTCGTCTGCGGTTCAAGATCATACTCATTTTTCTTTTCGGGCGACCGAGTCGATTCAAGGTTGCTGTTCGGCTGGTAAGACATGGTGAGACTAGAGTGGTACGACCGGGTGCATGGAAGATGAAGATGAAGAAGACGAGATTCCGACGACGGTACAGATGGGTGGATACCCTTAGACTGGTTGTGATCAATGTTCGACGAGATTTAGGTCAGGGCTGAACTGGGGAACGCTTGGTGTTTATGAACTAAAACTGGTTCCCTTCTGTAGTTCGATCTGGGGTACATATACTGGTACGTAATTCACAGGGCCCTTTGGAGCGCCTTCATCGCACTTTTGTCAAGAGCCACAGCGATCCCCATGAACGCTAAGGTACGCACAGGCCGGGTTCCTGTCCCAACGCTCACGTGCTGTCCCCGGGAATCGTTCCGGGCGGCGAACTGATAGAAGCCGGAATGAAACACCGAATCTGCAATGGTGGCACCTCTCCCGAGATATCTGATCCTAGTCAGAGAAATGCCTCATTGTACATCTTCCACGCCAACCCGAGATAACGTCGGTTATGAAAGGCGATAAGGTTACCGGGGCCGCCGTATGCCCAGGCGCCTATGGTCGCACATTTGCAAAGTTTACTGATCTCTCAGTTGGCTCCAGTCATTCTGTCAAGAAGTGACATCAGGCATTGGCGAGCGCTGAGCGGGGTATTGCGCGTAACATCGTGTCTAGAGGTCCTCGCAAACTGAGCATGCTAGTTGCGCCATCTAGTCGGAAATTTGAAGCCTAACAGTGACGCAACAACGCGTGGGATCGCGGCTCTAGTGCGTTGTTTTCCTGGGGATGGGAAAGGGCCGAGGGTCTTGTGCGGAGAAGGCGTCAGGCCAATGAGGCTTAGCTCTGGAAGATCATGACGCTAGTCTGATAAAGTGGGATCACTTCCGAGCTAGTAGCATGACAGCCAACCGTGCATCGGTCCTTCCGGTCTCTCACAGGCTGGGAGCTGAATCGCCTGGGTTTCAAGCTGAGATGTCATCACCGCCCCTGGCGCTTTCCGAACGTCGAGCTGAAAGCGACATATGGGAATCAACGTCAACGTGCGATCTCGCAGATAATCTCTCAACATTCGGCAATCCACGTCTGCCCCTTGTGTCTTCAGTACTATCCAGTGGAAGCGCTGGAGCCCAGATTGCGTCTGGCCACAACCATGAGCCTGGACCGGAGTGGATGCTGTGGCAACTCACGTCGTTGCAACCGTATGGCGGTCTTGTTTTATGAGTACAGGACGATGCGACGATTGCATTGCTCCAGACTCATCAGCAGCCTCGGTCCTAGTTTTGGTTTCTGCGCTTTTAGAGCATTATCTGGTTGAAGTAGAACCCTTCGACGCGTGTATTGGCTGTGCGCGAAGTGCTCTAGACTTTGCGACATTATAAGTTGACGGCGCCAGCGGGTCGCATCACGTCGAGTATCAGGGACAGGTTGAGACCATCACTACCCTGATGCCTACGACGGAGCCGCGATTCAAAAGATTGACATCCACAGCCGAAGCAAATGTTTATATGATCGCACATACCCTCAACCTACAAAGTTAGAACGCGGCGACGGCCTTTCGGTTCTAAATCTTACCAGCCGTCGATGCATGCGAACATGGCAATGTCAATGGCCAGGGTGTGTTGTGGGATTTAGGCATGTATGGGAACATGTTCACGCCACTGCGACCGATCGCAGGCGATGTATTCCCTGCGCTACTGCAACGGCATCTCGACAAGCGGTTGCCATACCTTTCATGCTTATCCACTCGTCACCGCCTCGTTATGCACCTTCTCGCAGTACTTCTTCAGATCCTCGCACCAGAGGCCGACCTTGCCTTTCAGCGTGTCCTCGTACATGACCTTGACAAGCCTGGAAAGCATGCCACCCATGATTTCCCACGTCCTAACTTCGCACTCGTTCTCACCAATGACGATGACCTCATGGAACCTTTCCAGTTTCATGCCAAACGCGTACATGCCTCCATTGCCCGTCCAACTCGCCCTGTATACCTTGCTGAGATCAGCCGTGAATGCTGGATCCTCGAGTTGTTCGGGCGTAAGGTACGATGTCGGCGACGAGGGGGTGCTGATGTCTACGACTTTGAGTGGTGTCAAAGTGACAGCGTCCGGTTTGTCTGCGTTCATAACGACGGTGAAGCGCATTGTGCAGCCGATGGTCATACGATCTTGGTCCTGGAGACATGTGTACAAAGTCAGCATCTGTCTCACGTGGCAGTCGTACGGCGTCATCGCTTGCCTTTCCATCTTGCGGGCCCTCGGAGGACGAGGGCTGTGTGAGAATTTCCGCGCGAGGGACCCAAGTGTTCCATGCCGGATAGTCGGCGGCGTGGAGGACCGTGTCGAAAACGAGCGGTGCCGGGGCGCGTACGACGGTCGAATAGGAGATCTGGAAAACGGCATTCTCTCGCGGAACGATCTTGGAAGTAACACCGTTAGACGGCGGCCAGGCGGCGGTTCCCGACATGGCGCAGTGAGTCGTTTGCGTGGATGCGCATGGTGAGCGGCACTTGGAGTGTTGTCACTTACGCCCGGCTGACGACCCGGAAAGTTGCTGACCCGCGTTGGCACGCGAAGATGTTTTATCGATAAGAGATGTGGTGTCCTTCACGTGACGCCTCATGGAACGGCACCCGTTCGGCAATCTATCCGAACAACTCGTCCATGTGTCCCCCACTTCTACGCGCATCTTGAGCCCCACGGCTGTTGATTTCTCCGCATGCCCACCGTCCCCAGGCGCATCGGTCTGGTCTACATATTGTGCACGTCGCACTTGTCCTACCCTGCAGCCCACAACAGCCTCATACTATCGATACAGCTTCTGTCTGAGGTACATTTGCTATAAAGCATTGCGCGGTTTCCGTACGCGCCAATCAGCATTGCGACGCATGATCGTCTCGCCATAAGTTTTTGGCCGGTGGTGAATTGAAATCACACATTAGCCGGTTGCTGCACGAAAAGCAAAGGCTCTCGAGCATTGAGCTTCGTATTGGGAAAGTAAAGCGTCCGACTTGGAGAGCCTCCGATTTCTCGTCAACTTGGTCAAAACGTCATTGCACAGCATTGCCCTGTCACGCATCTTTGTCGGCAATTGAAGCGGCGGCTTCGGGACTCACGCCGACCAACAACTTTCCCAAGCAGACCACGACTCGTTCCTCTCCATATCAATGAATAACTCGCAGCTTTCGGCCGCCGCAGTCTGGTCACACGGAACTCTTCGCATGCACTTTGGCGCCGAGTCTTGCATTGCAGAGCTTCAAGCAGCTTCTATAATGCTGTGGTCTACTCGGCGCAAGGCTTGGTGTCGGTAAGCTTCAGGCAAGTGCAGCGGCGTCTGTGCAGCTGGGCGGATTACCGCGTCTAGTAAGCCTTGGATCGCTCGACCACGGCCGCACAGGATTTTGCTTCGGCTAGCAAGTTTGAAGACCTGAAATTCTGAAAGATCCGCACTACCATGGTTGCATCTGGAGACGTTCCCGCCGTCTAGCACTGCTGAGGGGCCGCCGTTCCAGCTATTGGGGCCCCACGGGAGCAGAGTCTCCACACCGTTGAACGACCACGCGCGCAGGCCACGATGTAACCTGGTTGAGCTCACGGCAGCATGCTATAAAGAGGTCCGGTCGCTCGTGCGACGTCCGATGCCCGCGTTTTGAGCTCCAGAAAGCAGTGAAGCCTCCACACGAATCCTCTCGTGGCTCTACACACCCAATCCTGGGTCCGACATCGCGCTACGCCATTTCCGATCATGGACAAAATATCAAAGTACAACGTCGTTCATCGATATGAGAAGCGCAGCCTGCTCATCGCGTGCGTCTCCCCCGATGGAAGTTTGTAGACTTCGCTCACTGTGATACCAGGATCAATTGCATCGCCGGACTATCAATTCTGTTCTTCGGTTACGACCAAGGGATGATGGGAGGTGTCAATACCGCCTACGACTATTACACACTCATGGGCTTCGGCCACAAAGGTGCTGATGGTGGTCCTGTTGTTGACGACACGTTGCTCCAGGGCGGCATTGTTTCAGTGTATTACCTCGGGACTTTGGTCGGCTGCTTGGTCGGAGGCTCCATTGGCGACCGCTTCGGACGCATCAAGACCATCTTCGTCGGAGCTGCTGTCGCGACCGTCGGCGCATGCTTGCAATGCTCAGCGATGAATCACGAGTGGATGATTTGCGCGCGGCTCGTCAACGGCTGGGGTACTGGCATTCTCAACTCTATCATCCCCGTCTGGGCCACGGAGACTGCGGAACATACCTCGCGCGGCCAATTCATCGCCATCGAATTCACACTCAACATCCTCGGTGTTGTCATCGCATACTGGCTTGAGTATGCATGTTCCTTTTACGGCGACGGTACTTCGTCCTTTATCTGGCGCTTCCCTATCGCATTCCAGATCCCGATGCTCATGATACTCATGGCTGCCGTCATGTTCTTCCCGGAGTCGCCGCGTTGGCTTGTCAAGGTCGGTCGCGAGGCCGAAGGACGGTACGTGCTGAGTCGGCTTCGAGGCGACGCTGGGGAAGACAGGGAGAGAGCGGAGACTGAGTTCCAAGAGATTGTGGCTTCTTGCGAGTTGGAGCGGTCCAACTTTCGTAAGCAGAGCTACTTTCACATGCTGTTTGGAATCGGCTCTGGCAAGCTGCATACTGGTCGCCGCGTCCAGCTTGTGATTTGGCTACAAATCATGCAAGAATGGGTCGGTATCGCCGGTGTTACGATTTATGCTCCAACCATCTTTGGCATCGCAGGCATGAGCCCAGCAAAGAGACAGTGGATCTCAGGCCTCAACAACATCTTCTACATGTTCGCGACACTTATCTGCGTCTTCACTCTGGACCGTATCGGCCGCCGATGGACTTGCTACTGGGGTTCGGCAGGCCAAGGAATCGCAATGGCGCTCGCCGGAGGGTTCTCCTACCTAGGTCAAGAAGCCACGAAACGTGGCGACACCAGCGCGGCATCTTCATACGGCAACGCGGCGGTATCTATGGTCTTCATCTTCACAGCCATTTTCGGCGCAACATGGCTGACAGTGCCGTGGCTCTATCCCGCAGAGATCTTCCCGCTAGAGGTACGCGCAAAGGGTAACGCTTGGGGCGTCGTCGGATGGTCCATCGGAAACGGCTGGCTCACGCTACTCTGCCCAATCATGTTCGAGGCTCTCGGTGAGAAGACGCTGTACATCTTCGCCGCATGCAACGCGATTACGATCCCCATGGTTTGGGCACTGTACCCTGAGACAAACCAGCGCACGCTTGAGGAAATTGACCTGCTTTTCGCATCGGATAGTATCTGGAACTGGGAGGCAGAGAAGAACTTTGCGGCGCTGCAGGAGACGCTTCCTTTCGAAGCTACATCGCACGCAGCGAAGAATGACATCGAGCGCGTTTCGCTGTAGAATTTGTGGTACTCGTATTACTCAATACCCTACTCGTGTATGACCTAGTCGAAAGCGAAGTCCAATTGATGTAATTGATATCAAGCTGAAAATCTCTTCTCTGTTCGTCACTACATGACCCTGTTCTATGCATTCAACGTTTTTCCTATACGAAGACGTGAATGCGCCTATACTATACATACGTCCAATCCTCCATGCGAACGCCGTCATTCGATCCGGCCGCCATCAGGCGTCCCCCGTCAACGGTAATTCTCGCGTTGTTCATGTAACCACCTGCCGCTGAAGCCAAAAAGAGGCAAGGCCCAACGATCTCTGTTTCTGCTCCCGCTCGCCCAGCCGGGCATCGTGCCACTGCCTTTGCCGCTTGGGGATTGGACTCTATCAGATCGCTGAGATCAGGTTTCGCAGAGACGCCAGTCATCTCGGAAGGGAAGATACCCGGGAGAATCGTGTTGACCCGTATTTTGAAGCTGTTAAGAGATCCATCAGTCCATGAAGCCTCTATCACTAGAATGAAGGACTTACGGTGTGAATCGCGAGGCGAGTAGACTTGCACAGTGCAGTGTCGCAGCCTTATCATTAGTGTCGATCCGACTGGGAGACAGACAAACTCACTTTGGATATCGGATACGACAATGCTCCAACTGTGCTAGGATACAATCAGCTCGAGCTTCGCAAGCAGACAACGTGTGATGACTTGCCGTTGTAGCATCATTCCTGCTATAGAGGCAATGACGATGACCGTCGGAGCTGGTGACTTGCGTAAAAGGGGAACCATCCTCGTGCTCATAAAGTAGACGCCGTTGACATTGATTGAATAGGTCGACTGGAAATTTTCATCATCAAGGCCGTGCCACAACAACTTCTCGACTGCGTCAGGATCGTTGTGTCGACCATCAAACTCTGATGCTTCAGCTTTCCAAGGACGATTTATTCCAGCGCAATTGATCAACACGTCGATGTGATCCTCAAGCTTTTGTAGCCCATTCACCAGCTCATCGACTCTTTGTTTAGACCCGACGTCGCCAGGTAGTCTTATAGAGTTAGCATTCTTGCTATAGTGAGATGGTCGAGTTGAGGTACGGCACTGGTGGGGCAGAATGACTTACGGTATGACCTTACCACGACTCGCTGCATTGATTTCGTCTGCTGCTGAATTGAGGACATCAGCTCTCCTGCCCACAATGTAGACCTTGGCGCCGTTAAACGCAAAACCGCCGGCTATGGCTAAGGGAAGATGTGAGCAAGGCCTAAAGCGACCACCGTATAGAACTACATACCTTTCCCAAGCCCCGAACCTCCTCCAGTCACGACGACAGTCTAAGAATTTCAGTAGCTGTAGCTCTACGTTGCGACCTACACACCTTCCCCTCGACAGAAAACAGCGAGGACAAGCCGAATGATTCGAGATCAAGCATCGCGGATGCTGAGCCAGATACTGTCTTATCTGACGGTGATGAGAGAACAAGAATAATACCTCAAACAAGAATCAGCGACGATGTGACCTATACAGCCCAGCCGAGTACCGCGACTTTGTGCCAACGTCATCGGAACGGGCCGGTGACCGGTCCGAATCGGTGTCGGATACGGCTCGGGCAGCTGAGTCCAACCACCATAAGTAACAATTTCCCGAATGTCCAGAACGGGCCTACCATCGCAACAACTATCAGAACACTATACGATTTGAGACATCAATCAAAAATGGGGTTTGGAATCGTCGAAGACCGCCCTACACCTCGTCAGTTCCTACCAATCCACGTCTAGATGTCGTATTAGTGCTAACCACGATACATACAGCCGAGGTCTACAATTGGCGAATCTACACACTCGCAATCGTAGCATCATTTGGAGCTCTCACATTCGTGAGTTAAAGGAAATATCTGTATCGAGAGCCAACAAGCTAAGCTCTTGTCATCAGGGCTACGATGGCTCGTTCTTCGGAACGACGCTCGCCCGAGCCAGCTTCCAGGAGGTAAGTCAATAGCATTGCGGCGAATCACTTTTACTTCTATAGCTGACGAACTCAAGCATTTCGGCTTCAAGGATATGTCCGCTTCTGCTCGAACATCCAACACGTCAAACATCACCTCGTCCTACCTCGCCGCGGGTTTCTTTGGATCACTCTCTGCTTGGCCGTCCAGCGAGACGCTTGGTCGGATTCGGGCAATGCAGGTCAGCTGCGCTATCTTTTTGGTCGGTGCTGTTCTCATGACTGCTACAACCTCGAGCTTGCCAATGATGTATGCCGGGCGAGCCTTGACTGGCTTTGGTGTGGGTGCTTTGACGGGTATCATCCCATCCTACATTGCGGAGGTGGCTCCCACCGCTATTCGTGGACAGTTGACCGGGTATTTTGACGTATGTATACACACCTACTTTCAAGATGTGCTGTGCTTATTTCTTTCCCCATCCTGCAGGTAGCATACCAAGTCGGCTCGTTGGTCGGTTTCTGGATCAACTACGGCATCAACCAGAACATGGGAGTTGACGCGGCGATCACCTTTCGCATTCCCTTGGCTATTCAAATCATCCCCGGAGGTCTTTTGGCTTTGGGGACGCTCATTCTTCGAGAGTCGCCTACTTTGTTATGGCGAAAGGGCAAGAGGGAACAAGCTATCAAGAACCTCTGCTACCTTCGCCAACTTCCTGCCGACCATCAATATATGCTGGAAGAGGTTGGCAGAATCGAGGCCAGGCTAGAAGAAGAAGAACGTCTATCTGGCGGTCAGACAGGTTGGTTGGCTATACTGCGTGGCTCGATGACCGAGATGAAGACTCCGAGCATTCGATTCCGGCTCGCCGTCATAGTTGGAATGTTCATGTTCCAGAATTGGTCTGGCTCCATCTGTAAACACACTCTCCTTCCTATGTCTCCCACCACAGCACTAACCTCTCTCAACAGGCATAAACTACTACTCTCCGATCCTATTTCGCTCCCTTCTCATCAGCGACGTGGCGCTATACACTGGGATATACGGAGTTTGCCGCTCAACTGCAGCTATTGCCTTTTATGCCTTCGTCGTGGACCGCACGGGTCGTCGACTGCCCTGGCTGATATCCGCCTCAGCATGCTCCCTGACTCTTTTGTATATCGCGATCTTCACAACGGTGGCCGACACAACCGTAGGCGCTCCGTCTGCCTCGGTTCACGCTGCCGGTACCGGCGCAACCGCGATGGTGATGCTTTACGGAATCTTCTGGAGTTTTGGAGGAAACGGTCTACCATGGATAGTAGCCGCAGAGATCTTTCCAGCCCGACTTAGGCCAATCACCGGTGCCTTTGCTGCTTCCTTGCAATGGTTCTTCAGTTTCATCCTCACGTTGGTCTTCCCGTATATGATTGCCTCTGACGTGGGCGCAAACGGGACATTCTTTTTCTTCTCCGCGCTTTGTTTCTTGACTGCTGTATTTACCTTCGTTTGGGTCCCCGAAACCAAGGCAGTGCCTATCGAGTGTTGCGAGGCGTTGTTCTCTGGCAAGATGCGGCATGCGGCCTGGCGAGCCGAAAAGCTCTTTCCACCGAACGGTATTCCACCTCTTCCTGACCATATCGCGGCGGGCGAAGCGGCATACATTCAGGCGCATCGGCCATCGTCACCTTCGTATGACTACAAGGTTAAGAACGAGCGGGAGGAGATCGAATCTGTATGAACATTTCAGTCCGCATCGATCCTGAGACGGCAGATAGGGAGGCTCACGAGGATACTGGCGTATGTTTGGTTGGAAATACCAATTGAGAGACTTGACATGTTTTGCTTTTTCCACCCGTCCCTTCGAACAACAGTAATCTGCATATGACGCTGCGTGCAATTCGGGATCTCCGACCGGCCCGAGACATGATGACTAATTTGACCCGCGAGCATAAAGCTGTACAAACTGTCAGTGATGCGTCTCAATGAACAACAGTCATACACTTTCGAACCGTGTTCTTGACTCCTATTGTTCTTGTTTGCATACCCACAATGTCCGCGGCGGGCGCTCCAGAAGTACCAATATATGCCCAGTGCGCTCGTACCGGCATACCAGCACTGGTTACACCTGAGTGTGTCTCCAAAGATGACGAACGAGCTCCAGCAATTCACTGCACCAATATTGCCGTGGCTGGCGGTGTTAGATATTCGACTTGGTTCGGAGGGTCCTATGAGGGCTCGATAGACACAAAGATCTGGTCAGTGCTCTTTTCCTCATTGTGAAGCTCGCGACTACTCGCAATACGACTAAAGGATGTGAGCAGGTTCTCTAAGAATGTTGATGGCAAGTGGACTAAGCCTCGTGACATCGCCGGCAACAAAGAAGGCGAGGAAGTCGTATATTGGAATCCGGTCCTCTTTATTCCTGACCGCTCCCGGCCGCAGCAACTTCATGTCTTCTTCAAGAAGTTCACGCCTATTCCCGTCTGGGTCACGTTCTGGACAAGCAGCAGTGATGGTGGAGAGACCTGGTCTGTAGCGAGAGAGCTCGTTCCTGGACCAGACGGCAAAGGAGGTAGAGGGCCGCAAAAGAATCCGCCGATAGTATTGAGCAACGGCGATTGGCTTTCGGTGGGATCGTACGAAGTTACCAATCCGCCAGGTAGTGAGGCCTATGGTGTATGGGTACGTCCTTGTTTGGTGTTTCTCTGCTACCTCCTCCGCTCTTTCCTCTGTTCTCTCGTCTGTTGTCGACGCGATGGCTCACGCTGACTTGCAGGACGCTTGGTCTGACACAGCGCCTAGACCTGGGCCTGGAGACGATTTTAAGCAAGGAGATAAGTGGATCCGATCTGATCTCATAGAGCTCCCCTCTGATCGCGGGAAGGCTGACGGCAGCTTCCCGGGAGAGGGTGTTATCCAACCTGGTGTATGGGAATCTCGAGACAAACCGGGCCATTGTCACATGACGATGCGATCCAGTGTTGGTTGCATCATCCAAGCGGACTCTACAGACTATGGTCGAACGTGGGGGCCTGCTTATAGGACATCGCTGCCGAACAACAACTCGGGTCATTGCGTGACAATCTTACGGGACGGAAGAGTTGTTTGGTGAGTTTGCATCCTGAGCGTGCATCGATGTTCAGGATCTAACGCAACGGAAGGGCCGGTAACTATCAGACGCAAAACTGGGGTCCGCGAACACCGTTGTGTCTTGCCATTAGTGAGGACGACGGCAAGACTTGGAAGCTTTGGGCAACGCTGGAGGATACGCCTCCGCCTGATGATTTCAAGCGAGTTATTGCGCTGGAAACGGGGATCGTGAATGACGGAAGATCTGAGTTCTCGTAAGTACTTTAGGAAATCTCGTTGACGAGCTGATGGGTTGAGAGGATGTTGGTTGGCTGACCATCAATCATAGGTACCCCTGCTTGACGCCCACGGAGGATGATGACGAAGACGGTGTTTGGGTCTCGTGGACATGGCAGCGACGTGGTATCATGGTTGCCAAAGTCGTTGATGGAAGATGATAGCCTTATCTAGGCGATGATGCATCGATATGTAACCAGAGTGCGGCGAAAAGCCCTTCTACAGTGATGAGCGGGTATCAACCTAAGCGAAGCCCGCCTAGCACCCGTAAGAGAATAATTCATATGGCGTTAAGTAACCACCGACCAATCAATGAATCGTTTCGTACTGAGGTGGTCGTTCTTTTTCTACAGTTCCTTTCCTCAGCCTTATTCCACTCTATCACGAACCCGATCACACATATCCAAAAACCAGCCTTGGTTTTGAGGCTCGCCCATCATGGCAATAAGCTAAATGTAGAATCCTGGATGATGAGAACGACCGGATTTTCACGTAGACTTCGGCCTCGCCTGATACATCGACGACAACACGAACAAGAACTATGGTGATTGCGTAATTATATGCTCTGCACACAACAATATGCCTTCTCAATCTCTATCAATCTACTGATTCTTTTGGAACTCTTCTGCCAAGACGTTCAAAATGGTGCTTAGCATAACAATCTCTTCCCGAGAGTCTAACACAGTAGTCTTGACTTCTGCGTCGCCGCTCAGGCAGCGATACAGCTCTTTGAACATCAACGTATAGTAATCCTCATATGTCGGCCGGATCGTCTCTTCCGAAAAGTCGCCGTTCGGGTGCCTGGACAGCGTTGTCGCAGTGATTGGCAAACCTTTGATATACGGCGAGTCAAAGGTAAGCTTAAGTCGCTGGTGCTGAGCCAGGACCTCGACGGTCGCGTCTACAGACAATACAGCATCTTCGCCTGACTCGTACGCAAGAACAAAGCCGTCGTATTGTAGCATGATAGACAGGAAGTTCCCTCGGGCGTTAGGAACAGCAGCAATAACACGGCGAGGATGACCGAACAGCTCTCGCATAAGACTCAGATCGTGCGGAGAGATGTGAAACTTGCAAGCCCGAATGTACTGTGCGACTGGTGATTCGTAGTCGAGGCCCGTATACTCCTCAAATTGGCTTCTGGCGACTTGAAGCCTCTCAGACGAAGCTTCTCTAGGGATATCCGAGAACCGTTGTGAGTAAGTCCCGCTCTGACTGATGATTCCATCCCTGACCCTCGATGTGAAGTTGCGAAATCGAACATAGTTGATCTGGGCTGGATCCAGTTTTCGCACAGCATCCTTGAACCTCAAGAACGCGGTCGCGTATCGTCTCATGTAACCGACGAATACCAACTTGCCGGAAGCGAGGCGTGCGGCCTCAATATCGTCCGCTTCTCGCAAGGTCTGAGCCATCGGCTTTTCAATGAAAAGATGCTTGCCGGCTCTCAGACACTGTACTGCGTGGATGCCATGAAACTCGCTGAAGATGGACCTTGATATCAGCAATCGTGCAGACTTGACACCAGTTGCAAAGTACGACTCACTCGGAATGACACATCAATACCATGTCAACGTCGGAGCACGCTGCCAGCATTTGGGGTCTGTTGGAGACGTGAGTACGGGGGCATGGACTAGATAGGACCGGACCTACACGTCAGTGAAGGTGCGAGGGATGTTGAACTTTCGTGAACAATGCTCTACGGCTTGTTTTGAAACATCCACTATTGCTGTAACCTTGTACATATGTGAAAGCAAGCCTAGGGTGGGTAGCTACATGCTAGAGTTAGTCGAACGAGATCGTTACTATACATCAGATATGTATGACCTTACATGTGTGCACATTGCGATTTCCCCAGCACCGACAACCTGCGTCTAGTCAGATGGCCAATCCGCAGTGCTTGCTACATTAACTTACAGCGACATTGATAACACCACTACTGGACATGTTGATGTGGAGGATTGCTGTTTACGTTTCCGTACGTGTGAGCAGGCAATCAAGGTAGGCTAGTCACAAGTAGCAAAATGTAGAGCCGCCTTCGGAATGAAGGTATATATCAAACTCAGCTGGACAAGGGTATTGGGTTCCAACAGTCCCATATTGTCTGCCCGATGCCGAGATAAGGAAGAACGACCCCGCGCGGGGTACCTCATCGTGCAGCAATTGAGGTTACGGAGTCGGGGAGAACCCGGTCGGGCCGGTCCGTCCAGCCTTGTCGCTTTCGGAAGCAATAACCGACCCGACAACACCTTTCATTGCGGGTTTGATATAGTCGGATGAAAACATACGCTTTCTCCGCATTGTTCTATTACCTGTACATTCATCAACTATGCGCATCGCTGTTTTCGATGTTAGCCACTGGCATTTTCCGCTATATATCCCCGTCCTGACCGACCCTGGCATCACAGTCGTTGGAATATGCGATAGCGAGGGCTTCGCGGGCCCCGAAATGGCACGTCGACTCAATTGCCCGTTGCTGTCGCGCGGCGAATTGCTCAATCTTGACTTTGACTTTGCAATGGTCTTCAGCCGGCACTCGGAGATGGCGGCGACCGCCCGAATGATCATCGACAAAGGACGGCCATTCCTGATCGAAAAGCCTTGTGGGCTGAACACAGCCGAAGTCGCTGCACTCCTTCAAGCAGCGGATAAAGCTGGCATCTTCGTCACTGTCCCGTTTATTCTGCGTGTGAGCGACCTGGCACGCGAGCTTAGTCAAAACGGATCGCTATCGCCTGCTGGTTTTCGACATTTGTCATTCCGCTTTATTGTCGGATCGTCCAGTCGGTACGAAACAAATGGCTGCAAATGGATGCTTACAAAAGCTACGGCCGGTGGTGGGTCCATTCTCAATGTCGGCGTGCACTTTTTCGATCTTCTGGAATCACTGACCGAAAGTCGAATAATCTCGGTTTCGGCACAAACGAGGACATTCCGCGAAGACATTGACATTGACGAGTTGGCTATGTTCACAGTAACCATGTCTTCTGGTCAAATTGCCCATGTACATACAGGATATCTGTACCCTGGCACGCCGGATGACCAGCGCGAGTTCGGCTTTTCGGTCTCTCACGATACTGCATATCTCCAGGGATTCGCTGACCAGATTGTCGTAAAGTCTGCTGACGGCGTGTCGCGGTCCGCAACTGTCGAGTACAACACCGACGAGTTCTATCCCATATTCTTCCGGGACGCGCTCGCTCGTTGCCGCGCAGGCCAGCGGCCGCTTGTCGGTCTCGAGGAGGCGCAACGTGCATTGTCTGTCGTCGAGGCGGGATATCGTTCAGCTCAGCAGGATGGCGCTTCAGTTGCAGTGTCGCTGATTTAGGAAGAGCCGTCTTTGGAGATTCCGATAGGCCGACACACCCATACCTATGTCATCTCTTTTTGGACTCCACTCCGCAGCGAAAGTCAACTTCAGATGCGCCTATCGTTCTTGCCTTGTGTCTTGGCTCTTGTAGTTCCAGAATCACCATCTTTTTCTAAGTGTCGTTCTGAAGCGAAAACATCGAGGCACTCTTGCTCGGCATGCAGCTCTGTTCTAATCAGCCGGGGTGACATCAGATACAGAAAGGCTAGATAAGTAGCATTGGATATAGCAGCACTTTGTGGGCCTGAAGATGAGAATACGAATGATGATGATTGAACAACAAAGATAACGCAAGTCGTAGGCCGCGTGCTTTTACGGACGATGAACTTCTCCTGCAAATAGGGTTGTTATCATACAACAGGCCAGAACCGGTGTTTTTGTGGGCGCGGGCATACGAGTTCGCGCTCGCGTCTTCAGCAAGGCCGAGATGTGTAAGGCTGCCCGCCTCATTTCGCGCACAGACATGATAGTGACGTCACATATCGTCAACTTGGGAGCCGGACGAAAGATGTCTTCTTGCCTGTAGGGGTCGCAAAGTCGACTGTCTTGCTACACTGCCACCGGCTAAACGTGCTCACCAAAGCTGTGATAAAGCTATGAAGACCTCAAATAATTGACTGTTCTGTCACTCACCCGCCAGCTAACACAATATCTCTACGTGTTTACTAGCATTCACGTCCTTCTGCTTATTACATAGCATCCAATTCCCACTTCTGAGCATCACGTCCTTCATCCTCTGAAACGCACCAACATGGCTGCGGTATTGATAACTGGCGCTACTGGAAAGCAAGGCGGTTCCGTTGTGAACGCGCTTCTCAAGGCCAACAGCGAGTTGCAGATTCTCGCCCTTACGCGCAACGCGCAGTCAGCATCCGCACAGAGGCTTGCCCAGAAGTCTCCGAAGATCAAGCTCGTTACGGGCAATCTAGACACGATTGAAGATGTCTTCAATTCAGCAAGACAAGCAACCAACCTGCCCATCTGGGGGGTGTTCAGTGTGCAGGTAATCTAGAGAGATGACTTGTCCCGCGCAACATTGCAGATGCTGACAACAGCAGGTTCCAATGGGAGGTGGACAAAACGCCCAGAGCGAAGAGCGTCAAGGCAAAGCCCTGGTTGATGCCTCGCTCAAACACGGTGTGAAACACTTTGTCTACTCGTCCGTCGATCGCGGCGGCTCGAGATCTGACAAAGACCCCACTAACATTCCGCACTTTATCAGCAAACACAACATCGAGCAGCACCTGTTTAGCAAGGTGGACAGCAATAGCAGCATGAACTACACCGTCCTTCGTCCTGTCGCTTTCTTCGAAAACCTAATGCCAAATTTCTTCGGCAAAGTTTTTACAACAAGCTGGCAGACGACATTGCGCCGAGACCAGAAGCTACAGCTAATCGCCACGAGTGACATTGGCTTCTTCGCAGCCGAGGCTTTCATGAAGCCTAAAGAGTATCTCAACGAGAGGATATCGATTGCAGGAGACGAGTTGACTTACGATGAGTTCAAGACGATTTTCGAGGAGAAGACAGGTCAGAATCTGCCGACGACGTACAGATTGATATCGGCGGCGATCAACGGGATGGTTAAGGAGCTAGGCTACATGTTTCAGTGGTTCCGCGATGTTGGGTATGGAGCAGACATTCCTAGCCTGAAGGAGCGTAATCCGGAGCTCAAGGACTTCAAGACCTGGCTGGATGTTGAGAGTGCATGGAAGACTCGATGATCGAAAGTCGCAGCAATTCATCTGACGACGTTAGATGTGTAGCGGTATCAGCTGCTGTGCTGTCTTTTGCGGCGGCCTTGCTATGCATACCACAGCGCCAACTGGACTTGAACGAGCAGGAGATACATGCAGCCTCAACGACCACGGTCGCCCAACAGTCATAAGCTCATGGTGCTAGACTCTGCGATTGTGCGAATATGCTATGGAGATGGAGTCAGGAGGGGACCGTGCGCGGACAAGAGAAAGTTGACATCGTTCTGCCGCTTTAGAGTTTGTTCCTCGAATACATACGCTGCATGTCTTTATTCCACTACACTCCTGTTGATACCGCTGTTCGTGTTGTTGTGCGATGCCAATAGCAATGTTTAGACAGTACGTCGCGTCCCTTCCTATCAGGGCAAGGTGGCGTTGCTTACCGTGCGGGGATCGATAGTTGACTTGTCTAAACGGCCGAGCTATCCGGTAAGACTAAGCACAGCATCGCTTGCGTCAGAGACTCCGATTACCCGGATAGGACTAGAAAACCACCCACTTCCTTGCAGTCCTCCCTTCCCTTATTCTGAAATCAACAATTCTTCTGCATACCTATACACGAGGTTTCGGACAAATCTCATCATGAACATTGGCTTCATCGTTGTTGGCTGTATTCTGGCCTTTATACTTTGCCCCACCCTTATATTGTTCCTCTTTTTCAGTTGCTTAGACGGGTACAAGGCTTACAAACGTACCAAAGCCTGGCATAAATGTCGTGACCAGCACTTCATCGACACACAGTCACCTGAAACCATCCGATGCCTCCCTGAAAAGAACAGCGATCTGAAATTCTATGACACTGAGGACGAGGAAGAACACCATCAGCGCAAGGCCGAGGAGAAAGCAGATAAGCATCTCACTTTCTATGGGAAACTTTGGAAAGAGTTTCGCAACCAGCAGTCAGGCAAAATAGGATCTGATGAAATGAAGAAGAAGGATCGCGAAGAAAGGAGGAAATTGGCTAAAGCGGTAGTGAGGGAATTAGATCTCAGGGAGCGCAACAAGGCGAAGAATACCAACAAAGTGCACTCTCCGGGGACTTTGTAAGCCGAAGTCACTATTCATGTCCAATAAGCCTGCAGCAACACATCCTGTATTTTCTTTTTTGTCTTCCCTATCCGCAAGCCAGTGTTGTGACGTTAAGTCGTGAAATGACAGTCCAAAGTGCATCTCAGCGTGCTGGCACGCACGTCATCATGAGACAGTCAATGCGTATCTGCGAAGAATTGAGTTAGCTAGGGAGGAAGCTGGAGTTAGAGCAATAAGACTGCAGATTGAAAAGTCAATTCGAAGTCGAGAATGCGCATTCTGGTGGTTCACCCGCCGCACAAACAACAAGATCATCAAAATGCATCCAGTTAGCCGTTCATCGTCAATAGCTCTTGGCAGACAGTAACTGAAAGTAGGTGTTTAGATGCTATCGTGAAAGTCGTGAGAAATATCAACGTTTGCTCATTGTGGCATGTACAGTTGTTGACGCAGAGATCGCTCAGCTGGGGAGGACTACGTGCCGGCGCGCGTAGTGCACAGGTTCGCGTAACGCCCCACCCCCACGACAACACATCTTCAACGCGTCACAACTACACTGATCGGGGTCGGATTTGAGAAGCGATTGAAGAAACAAAATCGCGCAATCAAGGAAATGATTTCTCACATAACAAAGTCACCGCCAAGTACGGTGTTGAGCGCAGTACGCTCGTTCGAAAGGACTAAGGCCTAACAAGACTCCGCAACGTTGCGCATCAACTCCTCCACCCAGAATACGAAGCCGAGCTTGTATGACATATCGAAACGCTTACTGAACGGCGTTTGCTGATCATTTGGCTAGCAAAGAGGTCTCCAAAAGCTGGGTCACCCGGTTCCTCAGGCATCACAGCTGCAATACTCATGAATCTGTTGTGTTGTGGGTGGGGCGTTACGCGCACCGGCACTGTTCAATCAACCGCTGGCGAACGCGGCGCGGGGAAGTGGTGAGCGCCAACTGCGCCACCCCAGACTCCGGCAAGCGCCCATTTACAGCCTGCTCGACGTGGGCTGAAGCTGCGCATTCAGGATGCGCGAAAGTTACCGCTTATGCTCTGCATCCCTTGACTCTCTTCGCACCTCCATACTTATCACAATCTACCAATCATGACTGATGTTTATAGCCTAGGAAAAGCATGTCTGCGCCCGATGCAGCTTCTGAAGCGTTTGCCGAGCGATAGCTTCGATCTACCGTGTTTGTGCGTCTAATGCCCATGGTTAGGAAACACATGTGCCGACATAGCCACAGATGCTTTTGGAACGATGACTTGATAGTAGTGGATCAAGTGCATCTACCAGCGAGAGGTCAACGCTAACTATCAAGAATCAGGCAAGCAGTTACGTCGCCGACCACTGGAACCCCGACAACGAAAAGGACAGGGAAGATGGTGAAACAACTGCTGCAGGCGATACGTGCTGCCGCCAATGAACTCGAAAGCCGTAGTTAGAGGCGGAAGAAGGGCCATTGCTGTGATACAGGCATATCATGGGTATGGAGCTGGAGTATAGCTGTGAACGCCCCCAAGGTTTCCCCAGCGGTTGAATTGCACAACGAATCTACGCTACTGTACATTGCACAGGAAAAGCACGAAAGGTCAATAAGAAAAGCCTTGGTCAAGATGCCTACCGTCGCTTTCTATCAAGATAGGTTCGCATCCGTGCCGTGCCTCCTGCCCTTGATGCTGCTGGGCGTAGGCCCTTGGTGGCTGGTATGAGGGACTTTACTTCGATTATTTCCAGTTCTGGACCATGCAGGCGATACATTGCATCCGAAGTATCAAGGCACCACGTTATGCTGGTCTAGTCTCTAAAGGATGCCTTACAGTGAACAACGACATAGATACCAGCACCCGGGTTGTGTAACGTAATCTTACATAGTTTCTGGCTTACCGTTTCGTAACATCTCTGTTGCATTTGAGGCCTCTAGGTAAAGTCGCCGTTCAGAAGTCTACAAGCAGTTCCACTGGCCTAGAACCATGCAGGGTCTGGGGGCCTTACATAATACATCTACCGGTGGCTAGCGTGGGGCCTCGCATCGATATTATAGATCCGTAAGGAAGGGGCCGCTCCGCCCGCCCCTTGGAAGCGTCCTTATTGGTTCGTTGGACAGGGGTCGTATCACAACCCACAGAGGCTCAGATGTATCGTGTAAAGAGTTACTACAACCCAGGCCTCCCGCTATCGCAGACGACCTTGGGATGCCGGCCTAGCTTATCTATTCTAAGCTCGATTCAACCAACTCATCTCCAGGGGCCATCCGGATCTCACTACCGGTCCTATGGCATAGACAGCATTGCACTCTGTGTAGCCTTCGTTCCCATGTGTTATCGCCAAATAGCGTCAACAAGCAAGTAATCTCTCAACTCGAGATGGTTAGACGCTTCTATCAAGGCCTCCCACCGCAGCTCCTAACTATTGCAATGCAAGCTTAGTACAGCTAACCTCTCATGTATAAAGGGCCTTTGATCCATCGTCAATTCATCAAAGCACTTCATTCAAACTTCAACAACAATACTTCACCAATACTCGAATCTTTCGCTCAATATGCAGCTTACCAAGTGTCTCTCCGTTCTCGCCTTTGTGCCATTCTTGGCCGGTGCCAACCCACTTGCCGTCGAAGACGTCTCTTCTGTCAACCACTTTCCTCTCGAAGCCCGTGGCGGCATCGACTTCTGCGGCAGCGACTTGCGCGCAGCCGGCGACTCTTGCACGTTTGGGGGCGGCGAATCGGACCCGCATGCTTGTGGTATCAAGGACAGAGCTGTAGTTGTAAGTCTTTGCATCTTTTGAATTGGAGATCTGAGGTCTGACAACAGAAAGCTATACTGCGTGAATGGCAAGTGGGCTATCAACCACCGCTGCGCTCAGGGCCAGCAGTGCATGTGCGACAAGGGCACTCCCAAGCGAGGCAACCTCGTCTGCCGATAGATAAATAGCTACTTCTTAGTTGTAATCGTGGCAGGGCAGAGATTGAGAGCCATTGACTTCTATATTGGAGAAGCTCTTCTTTATACAACTTTAGCTACTACTCTACGTATCTCTATGTAACCACAGTATGTTCTACTAGATTCTGCTCGCAGTACATATTTGAATACTTGATCTAAGAAAGATCAAAGTGTGACGTAGATCTAACGTGTAGTAGATAGACAAGTCGGCCCAATGGGAGCATGCGTTTGAGATATAAAGTCTACTGGGATATATTCCCCAAGCTACTACAAATGATACTCAGTTCTTATATGGCGGGTGAGCGACACCTTCCTTGAGTGCTTTCAGCCGCAACGCAAGCAGCTTGGATACGTAACGAGTCATGGGGAGGAAGCCAACCATAATCCAAAGATTTGGCACACCAGACTCCCTGAAAGCTGTCTTGGCTTCTCCCTCCTCATCTACACCCCATATTGGCCCAACTCTGCTCGCGATCTCATCTCCAAGTGTAGCGCGGATAGATTCGATCGTGTTTGTGAAACCAGTCGCGAATACAACTAGATCGAATTCTCTCTCTCGACCTCCACTCAAGACCGCTTTATCCTCTGTGAAGTGGTCGATATAACCCTGCTCAACCTTGATCTTGCCGTCAATGATCTCCTTGCAAGCGCCTGCGTCGAAGTAGAAACCGCCGTTGCGAGTTTGACCTAATGTCGCATTGCCTGTGTTACGCTGACCCCTCCATGTCCGCAAGCCTTTAGCATTCAAGCCATCGAGAAGCGGCTTATCGAGGTCTTCGAGAACCTTTGCATTACGCCTGCCAAGCTCTTCACCAGGACCGCAGGGGGTTGCGAAGAATAGCCGGTCCTGCTCCTCTAGTTTCGGGATATCACGGGTCCTGCTATCCGGAGCATAGCCTCCTAAGATACGCGGTACGGAGTGAGTAAGAGACATGACATAGGTCGGGGATCGCTGGAGGAGGGTGACATCGATGCCGCGACGAGAGCAGTCATAAGCCGTGTCGAAAGCAGAAGATGATGTTCCAACGACACAAACTTTCTTGAAGCCTCGAGAGCTGTCATGAGCACTAGAGTGCCGAATCGTGCCCTTGAATCTATCCAAGCCAGGCACATCTGGCATCGAGGGCAGACCACAGAGCGAGGTAGCCATGACCAGCTGCTTAGGGTGAAGTACTCGGCTTTCCTTGCCTTCCTTGTTTATAGTGACGGTCCAACGGCCTTGCTCATCTTGCTTGGCATTGGTGACAGTGGATTTGGTCCAGACGTTCAGGTCAAGTGCTGAAGCGTACCACTGCATGTAGAGGCCTTGCTTTTGGGCCGGGGTATAGGTCGGCCAGCCCTTAGGGTATGGGAAGTACGGTAGCGCATCAGGCCAGTGAGGAAAGTGAAGAGAGAGGTATTCGTAACGCTTCCGCCAGATATCGCCGATCTCGTCGCTTTTCTCGATGATCAAACTGTCCATGCCAAGGGCTTTCAGCCGTGCGGCCATGGCTAAACCACTGTAACACGCGGGTCAGTAAGTATAATTCCAATCATACTGTTACTACGGGCGCTTCGCGGCCGAGTAGAGCATGTGAACATGAGAACCAAAGGAAGGAGACAATATGGGGGCTGGGCTAAGTTGCTTACTTTTGTCCGCCACCAATGATCAAAACCTCAGGGTCAGCAGCGTCAACATCTAGTGCTCTCTGCTTCTCCCAGCTGATCAAACCAGTCCTGTGGCCATCCTCAGGGGGAACTTCAGGATGGTCGATGAGCTCCTCTGCGACTGTATGCATTGTGTAGATCTTCCAGCCATCATTCTTGGTGAGAACAGAATTAATGACCGCCGAAGCGACTACAGCATCTGTCTCGAAGGAAACGACGAATTGCAGGTGGGCGAAATCGGAATATGGTCGAGCAACCTTTGGCGCAGGGTTAAGGAAGTGGAAGTTCCTAGCTCGAGTTTGGGGGAATAAGTCGGTCGCGGCTCTCAGGATCGCTGGTCGCCAATTGAACGTACGGAAATCCCATGTGAATGACAACTTATCACGCCACACGCCTGTGAATTTGAGGAGTAGATGTCAGCTACAGCTAGAATGTACGCCATGCTCACTGTCGGGTAGGGCACTAGGAAGATACACAATGAAGCCAGACTCACCATAGTCGAGGAAGAGATCGGCGAATGCGTTAGCGTCCCCCTTTCTCATGACAGTAGAGAGTTTCTCCACGATGCCCTCTGCCTCAAGTTGAGCATTGCAATCGGCCGGTATATCAATTCCTAGTATGTCGGTCGTCGGGAGAGGGTGATTGTATTTGAAGTCGTACATGAAGTCATCCGCCACAGGAGGCTTCGGGACCTCATTTTTGCTGATGACGATGTCGGTCTTGATTTCAGGCGCAGGGATTGTATCAATAGAGCCCATCGTTCCGTCTCGTGCAGTGGATTTGTTGTATTTGGAGGCGTGAAAGATGAGACGAAAGGTCAACAACAGACTTGATGCTGCCAATTACAACTGACAGCATTGAGCGTTATGGCGGTCTCTTATATCGCCAGGTCAATCGATAGAGGTGTATTCCGCGATAGTAAGACTGCCTAGCATTACTTGAAGGGACGTGCATCGGCGGAAAACACACGTCTGAACCCTGCAGTACTGCGTGCCTGCTCAAGTGGGGTCCAAGTTTCGGCGGTTGGTTCTCCATAGCTAAGAGGGACCAAAACTTGGAAAACCAATGACAAGGATGGCGGATGTGGCCGTTCGCATGACCTGTTCAGTCTACAGTCTGCAGTTCTTGACGTTGTTGGTGCTGGAAAAGCGGGAAGGCGGAATGTGGGGTACCGCCGAAGACAGCAGACGCAACCAACGCTTTACCCAAAACAGTAATTTTCGCCGAACATTCCATGGAGATTCCTAAGTAACTCAGCGTCCATAGATCCCGTCCCACCGAAAGGTGGGTCGTATTGCTCATGTTATGCAGAGAGATTGACATTCTGTGATACTGCAAGAAACCTTGTGCGCGATGTAGCTCCATATTTCCAAAGTCCGACTCCGCACAACGGTCGGCTTGCGATCCGAAGGGGATATGATATCCATGTTCGGGCGAATCGCGTGTCCGGTGGTGGAAAAGATCCGAAGACACGAGATAGTATCGATACTTTCTTGGGTGGCTTCCAACCTTACATCTTGTTCCGTCTATTCGCAAAGACCTTTCCTCTCCATACGCATGGTTTTCCATCCATAATGAAGCCTACTACAGGTGATGATGAGTGCACTCAGTAATGTGGATAGCAGGCTTCGTCCGTTTTCTTAGTCCCACATTTCGCCTCAGCTATATAGCCACTACGTGCATTGCGCGTTGATTCACTCTATGCTGCGAACGACTATCCAATTCCGTATCAGATTTTGGAACGAACAGCAAGCATAGTATACGATTGAGTAGACATATACTGCTCGTGTGCAGGATCGTCCTCATAAGCGTTAGCTGTTCCAATCACTGTTCATCACATAGACACGGAGATGCTGTTTTCCTTTTGTCACAAATGCATTTACCACGAAATGGCGGATCTGTCCTTTATTCACTACGAACGGCTCGAACTCAACCTTCGTACACCCATCAACAGCTCTATGTTAGGAAATAGAGCCTTGACTAGCCTGATCCCTCTACTTCACTGATCGACCTCAAACGACTCCGTGATCAGCTCCGACTCCCCGGCGCACACGCGTCTCAAGAATTTCCCTCTCTTCCTGTGCTGCATTGTCCCCAAAAACAAAATCCATCTGCTCCAAAGTCTTGCCCATCGTCTCGGGAACCAGAAAGTATGCCCATATAGACGCCAGAAAGCACATAGACCCATAGAATATGTACATACCAAACCCGATGCTCTCGAGCATTGGTGGAGTAGCGACACCAACAGTAAAGTTGCAGAGCCAGTTCACACACACTGCCATAGCGACACCCTTGGCTCGAGAGCTTCCCGTGTATACCTCCGCTGGTAAGACCCAACCAAGACAAGAGTAGGACATTCCAAATACCAGGATGAAGATGAACGCCATGGCCACGGCTGCCCATCCCGCAGAAGTGTTGGCAGACCAGTCGTCTGAGTAGATTCCAGTCAGTACCGCCATGATTCCCCAAGTGATAGCGCCGCCAAGGGCACCAAAGATGGCTAAGGGTCTACGGCCAACGTGATCGATGATGACAAAGCAAAGTGCCACACCTACTAACTGCAGGATGTTGAAAATTCCCGACATAGTAAGCGCCATCTCTGGGTCTTGACCAAGAGAAGCGAACAAAGTTGGGGCGTAGTAGATGAAGCCGTTGACTCCAGAAAACTGCTGAAAGAAGGTGGCGCCTACAGCTACAGCCGTGCGACGCCATGTCTTCTTCTTAAGTAGATCTAGCCAGCCTAGGATCTCTAGCTTGAAACCAGAAACCCCTGGGTGGTGCTTCTCTTGGATAGACTTCTCAACCTCTACCTCGGTAAGGATGGCGTTGTACTCGGCCTGCACGCGAGGATCGGTTTCCGGGAGACCTCGTAGGCGCCTCAGACTTTGAAGACATTCTTCTTTGCGACCAACTAGGGCGAGCCATCGAGGCGAAAAGGGATAGAAAAGTAGTCCGACACCGAGAAATGTGGCACTGACCATCTGTAGACCAAAAGGAAGTCGGAAAGATGCCTCGCTGGCGATGTGACGCGTGCCGTAAGTAGTATAGAAGGAGATAACGACACCGGATACGATACAGATCGATTCCAACACTAGTAGAGTACCTCGAAGGTTCGGTGGAGAGAGTTCCGATATGTAGATAGGTGCACCCTGTTTTTAACGTGTTCGAGTCAGAGATGTGGCTCTGTGAAGTAGCAGAAAAACAAGGAGCAGCACTCACCATTGCTAGTGTTCCCACACCAACACCACCGATAGTCCTCCCAGCAACTAGTACTGCGTAATTCGGAGCCGCCGTCTGCATAATAGCACCGATGTTGAAGATCACGACAGCGACGGTCAAAGCCCATTTACGCGAGATCCTATCGGCTAACGCCGGCATGAAGAGGCACCCGATGAAGGCACCAAGCTCCAGCATGCCAGTCATAAAACTCTTGCCGAATGCAGTTTCCGTCCTAGGGAACACGGCGTGGAACTGTGGCATAACATTGATGATAGAGATAACTCCTTGGTCGTAACCAAAGGAAAAGCCACCTAACGACGCCAGGAGAGCTGCTCCGAAGACGTAAGGCGATCCAATAAGTCCTGGAATGCCGTTCTTTCCGTACGAGATGTCGGCGTCGTTGACTACCACCATCGTATTGTCCTCGATGTTTTCCACCCTGGCAACGTCTGCATCTGCTTTCGACATGTCATCGTAGGGATCGTTCTTCTCCATGGTGAGGTTGTGGGTGAAGGATAAGAAGAAAGATATTTGTGGAGAGAGTTGGTGACTGAGAGAAAGGTTGCAGAAGAGAACGAAGAGCTTTATAAGTCTTCCGCGATAGAAGAGGTAAGCCTCTCAACGAGAAGAGCCTGGAAACGTTTAAAAGGTCCGAGGTTCTAGCATCACCGACCCCATGGGGCGTGGATGTGTACGGGGTGGAATGGGAAGCGCATGAATCGGAGCCTAAGATCGAGTCATTGCATGAAGGATTGCATTGGCCAGAACCCCACAACTCTTGGTGCCGGGCTCTAAGGTACTAACGCTCCGAAGATGATCGCTGTCTGAGAAGGGAGGCCATTCGAGCTAGCTGTGATTTGGTCGCATCTGTGCATAACCTGGGGATTTCCACGGGGACGGGCGGCGCCACCGGCCAACATAGCCCGATTAGTCAATATTCAGCGACGCAACCAACTTTTGTTGCTTACGCGGCCATCACAGAAAGAGCCGCATTGCGGGGGAAGCGCCACATGTTTAGTGATCCGAGCGAGCCCAAGGCAAACGGCACTGGGATAAACCAAACATCTCTGGAATTATGTCATGGTGGATAATATGATAGTCAAACTCCTCCAGAAGGCAGATATTGCTGTTTTCGGACGCAAATGCAGGTCTTCTTCGGCGGAGCATTCTTTTCGGGCCCATTGTTCCGGCATAGATGGCATGCTGGAATTTCGGCGAACATAAGGTTCATTACCAAGTTCTCCTCCTTCAAGTTGGCATCTTGCCACTACATAAACGTGACAAGGATAAGACGAATACCGAGCCCAACCAATCTGTCGAGTTGCTACACTTTGTTATTCTTCATATACACTCTATATTCGCACATCTCATTGAGTGTGTAAACGATTCGTTGGTTTCAAGGAATCAAAGGCCAGACGAAGAGCACATTCATCAACCCGTAAAGCACGACTACGACCAAAATGGCCCTTGTAGCTTCTCAATTCAAGCTCAACACAGGAGCAACCATTCCTGCTGTTGGCCTGGGTGGGTTTATTCCTAGGAACGAAGAAAGAACACAGAAGGAATGGCTAATTGTGTATGCGAAGGTACCTGGAGGTCGGAGCCCGGCGAAGTACGCGACGCAGTATCTTTCGCCCTAAAGCAGGGATACCGTCACATTGATGCAGCTTTGTAGGTGTAGTAACGTCTCTATCGTCTCGAACAACGATGAAAATTGCTTTTACTGATTGCTACGTAGGATTTATGGTACGTCTGGAACTACCAGCCCATCGCGGTATATGTGAACTATGATTCAAATGCTAACATGTCGTCTTCCTTCAGGTAATGAAAATGAGGTTGGCCAAGGTATCAAGGATAGTGGTGTGCCTCGTGAGGAGATATTCTTGACGAGCAAGCTATGGAACACCCACCAGCCCAACGTTAAAGAGGGTCTACAAAAGTCATTAGACGCCTTGGGCACAGACTATCTCGATCTTTACGTACGTAACGATCCTTCATCTCGATGGATGCACACAGGAGCAATTATCTGATACTCCGATAGCTCATCCACTGGCCGGTGCGCCTAGTCCCTGTAAGTGCAGAGCCTCCCTTCGATCAGTCGACCATGTAGCAAGTAGCTAACTCGGAAACACTGGCACAGAACGAATCTAGCGAGCTTCTCCCCGTGAATCCGGATGGCACACGATCTGTTGACCGAGACTGGGACCAAAGTGAAACTTGGCGCCAGATGGAAGAGGTTTACAAATCTGGCAAAGTCAAGGCCATTGGAGTCGCCAACTGGTCGATTCCTTACCTAGAGAAACTGAGCAAGACTTGGAAGGTCGTCCCCGCAGTCAATCAGGTGGAGCTACACCCTTTCCTGCCTCAGCACAAGCTCCGGGAGTACTGTGCAAAGCATGATATATTGCTAGAGGCATATTCTCCACTCGGATCAGCAGGTGAGTGGAAGATATGTCATGATGAACACATCTATTTAGTCGTTGCTAACCTCGGCTCTTCCTTTAGGCGCACCTATCATGTCCGACGACAGTATTCAGGCGGTCGCAAAGAAATACGATGTGTCCCCTGCTACGATTCTGATCAGCTACCATGTTAACAAGGGAGTGGTCGTCTTGCCAAAGTCTGTACATGAGAAGAGGATCATCAGCAACAAGACAGTCATTGAGTTGTCTGATGAGGATATAGCGCTACTGGATGATCTGGCTGCCAAAGGCAAGGCAAAGCGCATCAACACACCGTTGTGGGGATGGGATCTCGGCTTTGATGACTGGTATGGTCCCTCAGCAAGTTCCCACTAGATGGGCTAGGATAGGGTTGCTACAAGAAAACATAAAAGCCACTGTTCGCTAAGGTTATACGACTCTGTCTTGGAAGGTTTTCTTTACCATGCCTCACCATCTTCACGTAAGCCGTGTCACTATGATAAACAGTTCGACCGCCTCATCAAAGGCATAGCATGACACGAGGTGATCGACGTCTTCATGCAGCTTATGCGCACTACGTACGTAAGTCACCTTGAGTCGCATCCCCAGCCCCACCATTGAGTGCGTTCACGGCATGACTGATATTCCAAGCGAAGTCAGTTCTGAGCTTGTGGAGGATTGACATCAAAGCTGATCGCTCCCCGGCGTCGCGCACGTATTTACCGCACATGGAAATCGCAACAGCAGCGGCCGTGAGTGCCTCATGTCGATCCGAGTGGCATGCCGCGAGCCCGCAGATGGTTCTCATGGAATGCAAGAAGAGTGCCTCGGAAGCTTGGGATGCAAGCTCACCGCCTCCTAGCCTCCGATTCTGGAGCTGTGCCTCGTGGTTAGCTAGCATCATCCGCCCGAACTCGATGTGCTGGAGAGCCATGACTTGACATGGGTTGGCCAACCACAACTCGGGGAAATAGCGTCCTTGTTGCGGCGCGTTCTGCCGGGAATAGAGTGGTTGGAAGCAGGAAGGTGGTCGCGTATCCCAATCGAATTCGAAGGCCTTCAGCGCGCCCCACAGCTCCGATGCGCTCGCGTAACCATCGTCGCTCACATCGAACCCATCGCTACCAAAATGCAGCTTTAGCACGTGCGCGCACCATACGAGGACTCTCCTGGTCCACAAGTAGTCGTCATCAATCTCGCCATCGTGGACATGTCGGCAGTCCTTGAACGATGGGAGGGGTAATCTTATGGGACGCTGATACAGCAGCACTGCCCATATTTCCATCCGCAGAGCTACTAGGTATGCCGCGATATTCGCAGATAGATGGTTTGGTTGAAAGATGGGAAGTGGGGTGAAGAGGCTGGGTAGAGCTTGTCCCAACCCACGCCCTTGTGCGAACTGCGTTTCGAAGTTGTGTTGCACCGCTCTTTGAAAGACCTCGAAATCTGATCCGGTCATCAAAACTGGGAGAATTTTGTTAGATCATGATTCCCAACTTGGAAAAGTCGAAGCCGACTGCTAGATGCAGATGCAAGATAGTCGGGAAGAGGGGGCAGGGGTCATGCTCTCACCATCATTTTGTTCATGGAATCGAAGGATAGTGATAGCTGACAGTATATCGCCATCTGCATGTTCCTCTGGATTAGCAGAAGCATCGATAAGAAGATTAATGCATGTGCTCTGGTATTGCATCACTGACTCCTCGGTAAGATGTGGCAGCTTTGTTCCTTGGAACTCAACCATCCCTGGTGATGATGACTCCGTGGACATTCGTAGCAGATATTGAGCGGAAATCCCGCATATAGCATTGAGGACTAGGGAGTTTCTCAAAGCTCGCATAGGAAGATGCGTAGCGAAATGGCCGGTTCTATCTGTCGTATCAAACTAAGCATCAAAAGTCAAAACTATGTACCTAGAATTCCTTGATGAGTTTCGCCACTTACTGTTGTTGCCAACTCTTGTGCGAAGCATCGAATAAGGCATGCTTCTTGTGGACCCAATGGACCAGGCGTCATAGGAGGGTTAGGCGCGTCCTGGAAACTCCAGGATGGAAGCAACATTGGTCCTAGGTCTGACGCAATGACCTCGCCCCGATCCGAATCTTCGGAATAGCTAGGCATGCTTGGAGATGGTCCGAAACCATCCGAACCCTCGTCAAGCAGAGCTGTCTGTCCTCCATCATATGGTAGGCGGTCTCGGGCCATAGTCCTAGGAGGAGCATCCCGCTCTCTGCCGCCAGCCGATTGGGATTGGGACAGCGGCGAGTCCCCTGAAAAGGAATTTTGAATCGGACTGGTGTCCACAGGTGGAAGCATGTTCGTATCACGCCGTCCGCCCGAGTGGGGCGGCGAACAGTACGCAAGAGGTGGCACAGAGTCTGAACCTAACATAGGGACAGCGAACGTGGACACGACTTCACGAGCATGGTTTGGTGGAGGTAGAGGATCTGTCTCGGGTCCAGCTCTTTTCGTCGGTGGCGTATACACTCTCAGACGCAGAGATTGATTGCCAGGTTTGCACTCGACACCCGCTTTCTGGCAGCATGCGCAAGGACATTCACCATTGCCTAGCAAGCCAGAGGATCATAATCAGAGAAAACCGATCAAAAGGGATATGCTGGTTACGATACACGACGTACATTTTAGGTGTTTCACTTCCACGTGGTCATCGTCAGCATATTGAGCATCATAAGAACCTGCCAAGTCTCCACTAACGCTTGCATTGTTCGCACGGTCTGGTTCTCGGCCGGCGTTGCGGAGGCATGGTGCGCACGTGAGCGCTTAGAATTGAGGTGTTTTGGGGAGGGTGGTGAAAGACGGAGAGTAAAGTTGCTTCTGGGGGAAATCGCCTGCTTCGGAGATCTTGGTCATCAGTCGGCGAAAATAGCCAGGTTGGGGATAGCGCCTCTCCACACCAGTAGTGGGGCCCCCAGAAACCCCAGGGCTGTAGCCGCATCGTGCCCTACCGCAGCCCCGGAATCGGACAGCTCTCTAGCCGATGCTATCCACTGTGTCGCACATGCTCCGCCGATTCTTGCACTGGGTTGTGAACGGGGAGCGATTCGCCGGAATGCTAAGTGAACTAGGCACCTAGGTAGTCTCGCACCGAATATATAGGGTTCGAGAGAGAGAGCATCTTAAATCGCAGCCGAATTGGTCACTAGGGTGAATTTTCGAAGACAATCGACTTGAGACACCTTTTGATCTCATCCTCTTGAGCAGGTCCAAAGTATCCTTCCTTCTCGTCTTCTTTGACATATCTTTGACCCGAAATCTCTCATCTTCGTCTTCATACCATAAAAGCCGCAGACATCATCATAATGGATGTCATCCCTCGTCTCAAATTCGCCCTTTTCGGCCTGGGTCGTCTGGGTGTCATCCGAGCCCGGATTCTAGCGTACGAGCAACCTCTTGTCGAGTTGGTTGCTGTTTGCGATACCAAGCCAGGAACCGATGCGTGGGCTGCGCAAAACCTGCCGTCAACAGTCAAGCATTTCACAAACCCAGAAGAGTGCCTTAAACATAGCGGAGCACAGGCCGTCCTGATTTGCACAGCTACAGCTACACATGCTCCGCTAATCGTTCAAGCACTCGACCTAGGACTACACGTCATGTGTGAGAAGCCCATCTCTGTAGACGTTATCACCACCGCCACTGTGATAGAAAAGGCCCAATCTCGACCAGATCTCAAATTCCTTGTTCCGTTTACTCGCCGATGTATGTCTACCGCCCCGATGAGCGGATGCATTTCCCATTAAGCAAAGGATAAAGCTTACTCTGATTCAGATGATAAGTCGTATCGTGAGGCTAAGGCCCTTATTGAGAGCGGCGAACTTGGAGAGATTCACGCGGTTGAGACCTGGATGAGCGACGTCCAAGATCCTGCTGGTAAGCGAACGCATATGGATCAGATGCTTTATGTCGTAAGCTAAGAGTCATAGGTCACTTCGTTGCATTCGCTGCTCATTCCGGCGGTATCTTCCTTGATATGGGTATTCATCACGTAAGTCCTCCTTGTATTTGGAGAGGTCATTACTAAACCTCCTTCAGATCGATACTGGACGGTATCTTTTGGACGTAAAGTCCAACCTCGCAAACCCGAAGAAGCAAGTCAAGCGAGTTACAGCTATCGGTCAACGAGCTGTATACACTGATCTTGCCGCGTTCGGAGATGCTGATAATGCCTGGGGCTTCGTTGAGTTTACCAATGGTAAGGTTTGGACAACGCATCTCGCTAGGACAACGACAAACGGGTTTGAGGACTCAACACGCGTGTGCGGTACAAAAGGGCACAGCATCGTCAGTTCCGCTAGCAACGTCGAGATTCGGGACAAGCATGGCGTTCGCAAGCAGACCGTGCCTGATGCCTTCAAGCTTTTCCCTGAGACATTTCAAACAGATATCACTGAGTTTACCAATGCGGTTCTCTTTGACAAGCCTTTGACTTGCCTTGCAGAAGATGCTTTTGAGGCAGGAAAGATATGTACTGCTCTTCAGCATTCTTACCGCACTGGCCAGTCAGTATACTTCAACGATGAAGGATTCCCAATCCTCGATGATGGTATACCGACTCCGTAGTTCTCCAAGATATAAACTCCATGCTGTCTTAACATTCTCTTTGCTTCAATGGTGACTTAGCACTCCCTATTGCGTGAACTAAGCGGAACACATAAGTGCCGAACTCTTCTTGGCCATCACTAAGTGAGTTGTCCTCAACAGCGTCCACCAAAAACTGCTCATAGAGTGATAGAGGGAAGAAAGGAAACCGTAAGTCTTATTACAAGCTATATATGATGATGATGATGTATAGAGAGATCACTCGACGAGAGCAAGTTGAAAAGCCCTCAACCTTTCTTTCATTCAAATGGATTCATAACGTACATTAGTCTCATTCCTGACTTGAATGCCATACGTTCCCGGAGCGTTAGCGTTGCCGTCAGGTACCTCGTCCACGCGACTAACAACAGTTTTGTTGTATCCTCCGCGCTCCGCATAAGATTCATAGTACATATCACCACGGCCAGACGACCCATCCTCGTGTTGAGCAAGTTGCCGCTCCGAACTATTATCGTCGAGCTCTTTCGTGCGATGACTGTTCCGAAGTTTGATGCCCTTGCCGCTGAAATCGCTGAGAGGGTTCGGGCCAGTTGAGTGGGACTTGGAGCCAAGTATGGAGCCGGACAGAAATTTGCGGAAGACGGGTCTTGTTATGGGGAGACATGCTTGTGATGGAGAAGTCAGCATCGGTACTCAAAACGCTGGCCATTTCGGATTGCGGAAATACTCACAAGAGATGATAGCCAAGTATGATTCCGTGCCTGCCCAGATTATGACGCCTTTGACATCCCTGGACATCTCTGTCGTCTTAGCGTTCA